GCGCCCCCCCCCCCCCCTGAGATGACCTGCGGTTTTCTAATACAACTGGTATTCTGCAAAAAAAAAAAAACTATGTGGTTTATTGGTGTTGAAGAAGAGCAAGAGACGAGTGCACCCCCTCCTAAAAAAATCCTGGATCCGCCCCTGATTTCTATTGCACGTACTCAATAAAAAAGAAAATCTTATCAATGCTGGTTACTGGTTACTTTCTGAAAATCGCAAAAATTAATTCTCAGCAAGAAAATCCAATCTGTCCTGATCACAAAAATTAGTTCCCGCAAAACATGCACAAAAAATCGCCAATCCGCAAAAATAAACTCCCGCAAAACTTTCGTGCCTCCGGGTAAATACATAAGGCAGCATGTTTACATGGAAATGGTTTTCCGCTCGAAATAACGTGGTGTAACTTGGAACCTTCTTTTTCCTGAACGCTGTCTTGTTTTAATGCTAACATTAAAGATCCAGGTGGTAATGATGTTGAAACTGAATCATTAAAACGTTAATTAACGGAGACAAGTTTGTTGTTTTTGTTTGCAACCCGCTACGTTCGGGTAATTTTTATATACCGAGGTGATACTTTTAAAACCCAGGTATATGATAGACCCCTCCACCCGCGCCGGGAAGCACTTCCAGGGATTCTTGGCGGGGGCTGTGACACCCGGTTCTCTACCCTGCTAGCAGAGTCTGTTCGATCTTTCCTAGATAAGTCGGGAAAGAGGAAGCGACTTATCTAGGAAGATTGAAGGAGACTCTGTTCGCAGGGTACCGGTTCTCCAAATCCTAACCCTATTTTAAACCAAGCAACAAATGTCAATTCCCCTTTTCAGACCTGGTCTCTGAAAGTTGTACTCGCATATTTATTATAAATGTTAAAATAATACTGAGTATCAAAAAGTCCTGCGCGAGTCACAGAAGAAGAATTACATGTAACTAAACGGCATCGCTTAGCCAATTCGAGATCCTAAAAGATACTCTTTAAGGGAATATCTCTCGGTGATTAAGCACCCAAGATTTTCTACAGTTATCGAAAAATAAAGAAGATTGCAAACCAAGTCTTTCTCTTAATGAATACTTCCCTTAAAATACTCAAAATAGCTTAGCTGCTTTATTCACAGTCATATACAAATTACGTGAACTTTTGAGTCACTGGACAAAATTATTCTCGGTGACCATTCAAATGAACCTCTTTAGCAGTTCTTTTGCGTGTTACTATTAATTTTATTACGCTGTATAACCTACTTCCAACTTTTGACTCTCTGGGAAAAATCCATAGTGCTACCTTTCACGAGAAACCTTTTCTGTAGTACTTTCACGTGGTGAAAACAAGTTCTAACTGTTGAGTGTTTATGACGAGTTTGGTTTGGGCATTCACACAATGTGTGAAACCTCTTCTGCAGTGGTTTAGTTCTGCATGGTGGAAATAAGCCTTTTTATACAGTATTGTATTAACTACGTTTCTCAAGTTTTTCCTGAATTCTGGTTTTAAGAAACTCTTAAGGTATGAAATGTTAACTAAAAAATGAAGCTGAATTGTGATGAGCACCTCTCTCACTTTTTCATGTACATAGATCCATCCCAGACCAAAGGTGTCTTATGTATCTTTTGATGTCTACTAACTTCTTAAAGCAGCAAGCCTGTGAAAAACAAGAAGAGCAAAAGAACCCTACAATTAATGACTTAAAAATATTTCAAAGTAAAATTTTATTGATCGGTATTTCAACGAAGTCCATCTTAGGCCGCGATTTTAAAAACCTTTGGACCTCCAGGTTTCTTTCTGTGTATTTTCTATTTTATGCTATATGCTCTCAAGAAACTGTTCACAACAAATGGTGTATAGATGAAAGCGTTAGGAAAGCTGAAAATGACAAAAGACAGTTTTGTCAAATACTGACTAGACTCTGATAAAAATAATCCGCCAATGTGTTTTTGGCTTCATTTTATCCTTGATATTAAAACTTACAGCTGTATAATCATACATTTCAAACCACCCCCACCCTTCCGCTCAAATAAACAATTCAAAGGAAATCAATAAACAAATAAATAGAATTTAACCCATGGATAAAATTTAACTCCAACATGTGCTTCTACAGGTATTTAATTAGCCTGTCTGATGGATGCGCAGAAGCCAGGCACACAAAAATGGTGTCTAATTTTCTTTCAAGCACCTGTCATACAAGTGAGTATATAAGCTGTTTACCGGCCAAGCTTACTTGAAGTCCATAATGAAAGTAACCAATTTAAGCCCCAATATCCACAAACAAATTCTCCACACTGATCTTCATACATTTCCTTACAGAATTAGTTGAGAGAATTTGATAAAAGATCACAGCATTTTCCCTTTGGTGATCATTTTACTGATTCTCATAACCTTTTCTCTTGATCATCTATTGATATTGTTAGGAGAAAATAGTTGTTGGTCAGACTTGCAACTTAAAGGGTTAAGGGCACTAAACTCAAGAAGAAATTTACCCTTTAAGCCTCAAGATCCTCATACAAATTCTCCCGACTGATCTTCATACTTCTCTTTAACAATATGTAGTCGAGAAACTTTGATTAAAGAAAAAGCATTTTCCCTTTGGTGATCACTTTATTAATTCTCAAAACCCAATCTCCTGATTACGTGTAGATGATTTTCACAGCGATGTCGTCAAATTGTAAAGTCAAGATAGCAAGATTGTACGAATTCGTATTTTCACTAGGTTGAAGATAACGTTTCATTTTGAAAATACAGCAATTTGAACTTCCGAGGTTTCACAGAGCGTGACACCAAAATAGGAATGCTGTCTCATTGGGTTTGTGAATATTAACAGCATATGGGCTGTAAAAACAAAGTTTGGAAAAATGAATATTATAGTTTGAAATGGCTAATTTATTGGAGGGATTAAAATGTGGAGGAAAAAAAGAAGTTACACAAAAATGCATTGATAGATAAAAGCTAAGCGTTTGTGTAAAATGGGAAGAGAAGAAGTATTTCTCACCTTTTGCTTAGTTGATCTTCATCTTTTTGTGATCTTTCTCCCTCTTGAGTTCTTAGGGAGGAAGTGCCCGGTTGTACAGCCTCCAGTTCACTCATAATTTCTAAACCATTTTCTTCTGCAACTTGCTGCATAAGGGCTTCAACCTTGTTGAATACAATAACAATTTAGGTAAACACAACAACAACAACAAATTAATTTTTGTCACTGCTTATACACTGTACATGTACCTTGGCTATATTCAGGCCAAGTTATACAAAACTTTCACAAATCCAAGCATAATATTACAGTATTATGCATAATTACTACCAAAATCACTAAACTGTTAGTCCCTGAAAAAAAATGATTGTTTGCAAGTGCTTTTTGAATAGCTCACATGGCTATTTCGCGTGCCCTGTTCATTGATGATCAGTGACCTTGCAAAGTTTTTTTTTTATTTGTTCAGTTCAGATGTGTAATGAAGTAAATGCACATAAATAAAAACGCAACAGAATTGCTGTCTAACAGCAAGGCTAGCATGTTTTAATATCACATGTTGTCCAACTGGCAAGCAACATTGGCTGAGAATACTGTGAGTAAAAATATCAACGTTAGTGAGAAAGGGGGTTAGGTGGTCTGCACAACTGCTCGGGTCTTGTTAACTTAAGTGACAATTTTCATCTTGCTTGAATAAAGGAACCACTTTTATGTTTTTTTGTGCTTAATATTTTGTTGTATCAAAAAATGGAGTGTGGCTCTGAACAAGACCGACTTGGTGAAGGTGACCAATGTTTCAACATTAACCTGTGTAAAAGTCATCATCAGAGTTAAGTGATTTGTGCATCATCGCTGATGGTTTTAAAAGGGGCTTTGTCACAAAGACATTGCTTTTTATGTCAATTCTGTGATGACGTTATTACTTAGTGCTTTTACACAATCCATGGGTCCTTGCCATCCACAGCAACAGACGATAGGAAACAATTTTGATGCCTAAACATACTCTTAAATAATAAAACTGGACTATGACTTTTTTAATTTAAATGATGTACAATATTTTTTAGAGCTGTGAAAAAGATAAAACATAGCATGGCATAGCCCCTTTAACTCTGGTTAAATTATGTTTTTGTGATATAGACAGGATCAAGCACAGGTAGTACAACTTTTGTTATTTTAAAAATCTTCTTCCCCCTGCTATCGATAATAAGAAAGAAGTTAATTTAAAATCCTCCCACCTGGTCTTGTGGTGTTGACAATGTAGTGGCCTCACCCATTGCATTTTCTAGCACCTGGAAATAAATCAAGAAATAGAGACCTTTCGCATCAGGTTTTTCATGGGGAACCCGCTAACTTCAAACCTGAGACCACAGTCATGTGGTCATGTTTGCAGTTTGCAGTTCACGTTTGAAAGGCAGGAAGTGCTTCCAGCTTCCGGCTTTTGCCACTAAAAATTGTACAGGCTCACAAAGTAACTTTCTATATCTGCCTTCGACATGCTAGTTAGATTTTTGAAACCGAGTCAATGAATTTTTCATACTTTTTAGGCAATAAAAGTAAAGCACTTCGACTTGATGAAAAACAACATGGTGGGTCGAAACAACAAACTCCTTGCTAAAATTCAAAAGCCAGACAACCATAAACTGCAAATTTTTAACTGCAAACTGCAAGTTTCAGATTCCCATGAAAAATCTGATGCTAAAGGCCTCTAATGATGAAAAATAAATTATGGAAAAAGGGCATTAAATTATGTGATTTACGGGTAATCTCAACTTCACTCTATTTTTCAAAGTGTCTGAACTTTTAGAAATTTCAAGAGAAACTGGAATAATAAAACACATTTTTATTTTTTATTATAGGAATCTAGCCATTCAGCTGAAGACTATAGCTAGATTCTCCACTCCACATGTGAAAACTTTGCAAATTAAAGTTATTTCACAACAGAAGATAAAAAATAATGGAGTTTACAGCACACTCTACCTGTGTGTTAACATCAAGATCTTCAAACATGCCTTCAAACTTTTGCATTGTGGCTGAAATCTGAAAAAAGGCAAAGACCACTATTGTGAGATTAAAAGAAAACATCAATGCTGGAAACTTCTGAATTTAATCAGTGTGCTGTTTGAAATAATATTAAAAGACAAAGATGATTGCCTTAATGCAACCATAATAATGCAAGAAATAAAATCAGTAGCCTGCGTAGCAAGCGTTTCCTCGCGAGGTTCGTCTAGAAAGCTGGGGCAAGAGCAAAAAAATGAATGACGGGGGAGGGGGAGGGGAAAGAAGGAACCGCTTGCCCGCAAACCCCACGATTTTGAAAAACTGCGTTCGCCCACGAACGCAGCCTCTGATTGGCGCGGTGCGGGTAGTGTTGAGTACTTGGCATTCGAAACATCAATCAAACCAGGTATGCTTTGTTTTCGTGCTTCACAGATCTGGTCTCATCTGATTTGTGGTCGCAGATTACAAATGCTTTGGACTGATATTTATTGGAATCGTGTTTGTGCGAAGGTTTATGAGATCAGAGCCTTCAAAGTATAATTGGAGATCGAGCAGTGGAGACTAGGGAAGGCCAATTTATTGAGAATGACGGCGTGCGGATCTGACTGGAAAAAATGGACTGTTTGTTGGAGATAAGAACATCAACGTAAATCAGAACATCGGTACTCGACACTAGCTAAAGCCGCCATGGACAAGCGATTTGTCAGCTTTTTGAAATGAAAAGATTTTTTTTGTTTATTGGAAATTTAGCGGCATCTATTGTAGAGAACGTTTCGACACACACTGAAGAGCAGCCGCTCTGCAAAACTTATAACCGGCGGAGTGAATTGTTCCGGACAAATCAATTTTGACGTGTCGACAAGGTTTCAGACGAGATAAAGCCACACGATAAAAAAACAAGAAATTCCGCAGCAATCGCTTCATGGTTTTAACTTTCTTTTATCGTAAATCTTTTTTATTACAGTTCTTGCAATCGCCTGCAACGTGTTCTATTTGAGAACAAAGTAATTTTACAAATCTGGTAATCCAGGGGTAATCTGTTCTTTATGTTTCTATTTTGACGAGCTGTCAATTTACAAATGAACCGAACCGTGAAATATCAAGGGGCGTTTTCCAGAATCGTGGGGTTTGCGGGCAAGCGTTTCCTCTTCTCCCCTCCCACTCCCCCTTCAACCTTTTTTTTGCTTCCGCTCTAACTTTCGCGCAATAACTCGATTGGAAACGCTTGCTACGCAGGCTATAAAATCAGGAAATGCTAAACCTTAGGCTCTTCAGATTATTAAATGCATCACACAGATTTTAATATCTTTTTTGTCTTTGATGTACATGTAATCACACATTTTCTTTCTTTTCTTTTAGTCTTTGCTTTTTAATTTTTTTTATTATTTTGTAATATTTGTTGTAACCTTCTACAAAATAATTTGGCACACCATGACTATCATTTTGGCTAACTGCGTGTGAAGAAATTGTAATTATTATGAAGTAAAATTACGGTGATATATGTCTGAGTTGTTGTCTTGTCTTGTCTAACAGTCACAGTCAGTTACAGGGGAGGATCTAGGGGGGAGAGTGCAGGGGGTGCGCACTGCCCCTCCCCCCTAACTTGACCTGCTGCTTTCTAATACAGTTATAAAAAAAAACTGCTGTATTGTTTGATATGTATTCACAGCAGTTCACATTATGTTATTGCCTAATCAAAAGCCTTCTTTCGTCGTATTCGCTTTTAAAATTTGTTTTCGTCACCAGTCAGTTACGCCATTCCTTAGTGGTGCAAACCGTCCTAAGAAAAATCCTGGATCCACCCCTGAGATATGGGAAAGAATACATGTTCCACACCTTTTCAAGGTCCATTGACTGCATAGCTTTATCCAAACCTTTGACGACACCATCCATGTTCTTGGTAACCTAGGAAGAGTTTGTTTAAAACTTCAGTAATATTCTTAAATTCATTTAATTCCCAGGTCTCTCAAACCAGATCCTTCAAGATATAAAGGGTTTGATAGAAAAAAAAAAAGAATGTCTGGCAGTTCTAAAAACTGTGAAAGTTTTTGTGTATGAAACCTTCTTATAAAGAGGTATGCCTGTTAGATATTTATTATTATTATATAAACACCTATGAAATACCAAGTGAGCATTCGGGCGAAAACTTGTTGTCTTCACATGTGAAAATATCACCGTTCTTATGGCTTCATAATGAGCTGCACCTTTCAGACCATAAAACTACTTAAGTAAAATGGTTTGGTATTTCATTGGTGTTTATATAATAAATAGAACATTACATGGTCGCTTGGAGATACGAAATTTCTCTTCTCGTGTTGAAAAATTTTTCACACTGGAAGAGAAATTTCGTATCTCCGCGCCGCCATGTAATATCCTCTATACCTAGTAGATTTCAATAGCCATTTCTATGAAATATAATATAAAGGACCACTATGAGAAGATCATACAACCAACAATGATACCCTGTTTAACGACCTAAAGAAATCATCTACAAAAAGCATTCCAACTGTCTTGCACATTCCTATGACTTGTCATGTTGCTTATATTATTTCTGTAAATTGAAATAATAATGTATCAAGAATACCATGTACAGGATACTAAAGAGATAAAATGGGAAGAGGGATTTGCCTACCCCAGATTATACATTTGGTCAGGAATGAAGGGACATTAGCTATGGGAATAGGGTTGTTCTAGCTTTTTTTTTTCGCAGTTGGTGGTAAGATTTGAAGAAAAATTTAGGATGAGGAAATGGGAATTGTAGCCCCCCTTCAGGACCTGTGATATCAGTACCTGTTTCATCATCATTGCGCTTTGAACTTTTGAGGACACGGCATCCACACGGGATGCAAGTCTTAGAAAGTTTAATCCTTCATTCTTCTTCCTGATTGCATTTTCTGCATAAATTCGTGCTCCTTCAATGTTTTTTTGCTGCAAAGCCTACACACACACACAAAGAAAGAAAATAGTGTCAAATTTTCTACACTGTAGTAAGTTCTGCAGAGGAAGGTGCTGCTGACGATTTACAAAATACCAGTAATGAGGCCCTGTTAGGGTAAACTTCAGACAAGTGACATGGCCTTAAAAAAAGCAGCATAAGACAGAGTAAATGGCGACAAACGACATGAAGATTGGATGAAACTGTGACAGTGACAAGGAAAATCACAAATACAGCAGTAAAATACTGCCAGTGGCTTGGCCTCCTCTTCAATACGTGAGACAACAGCTTTTAAAATTCGTACTAGGGACATGCGTATCCCCATCTGAGTAAGGTCGTCACCAATGGTAGGTCCAAGTGGTCTGGATGAGTGGTTGGAATGGTAAACAGATCTACCATTCCATGGTTTAACCTGCTTTTGTCATGGATCACATAGCAAAAAGCTGTCAATACAGCTGAAAGTAGTGCCTTAAAAGTAGTAAAGTTGTCAAGTTTGACACTGATGTGTTGAAAACTAAAGAGGATATAGTGCTTTAAAGTTGCAAAATTTCCATGAAATTTGTATGGTGGAAGGCAAGCTTGTGTACTATTATAAGGCACTCTTTCCAGAAGTGTTGATGAATGTTTACTAACTGGTCATTATCAAAACTACTGGAACAGACCATGGAAGAGTTTTTTCAGTCACATTTTCAAGCTAAAAGGTAATAGAATCAGCAAAGATGCAGTTTGGAACCAGGGGCCCGTTTCTCGAAAGTCCCGGTAATTAACGGGCCCGGTAAGCTGTCTCCGTTTACATTAAAGATTGAAGTTTCAATAGTTTTGCATCTAACATGATAAAACTATAAGTTATTGAAACAAAATGGAAAAGTTTGCTAGCCAGGACCGGCGCTTTTATATTTCGATTTGAATATTTGATTTCGGGCCCGAAAAGTTACCGGGACTTTCGAGAAACGGGCCCCAGGCATCCAAGGAAGGTACCCAGGTAAAGTAATAGTGATGGATGACTGTATATCACTAGGAAGGTCGCCATCCCAAAAAATCATCAATGAATCAACTAATTAAGTTTAATATACATGTAAACTCTACAATTACTGTGTTTCAATCTGGTACAAAGAGCAAGAAGCCGAATTTACCAATGTTTTATTTATAAATCTCTGCAAACAAGACTGAACTTACTGAACTTACTGGCAGTCCTCAGAAGAATTAAATTCTTGCCATCATCCATTCTACAGACCATTTATTTTAGGACTGTACTTCCAAGTGTCTCATACGGAATACTAGTATGGGGTTCCTGCTCACCTGCACTAATGGATGATCTTGAGCGTGCTCATATACAAGCTTCTAAACTTATTTTTAAACTTTCAAGGAATTCGAATGCTGATCAATTAAATAAATTGAAAGGCTGGAACAATTTATCATTTTACTATACTAAGAGACTGTTAGTAGAAGCAGATAAATCCTACTATAGATGCAATACCAATGTTTTAAATGATCTAGTAATGTTAAAACAATCATCTCACTGCCTGAGGAAATCAATGAATATTGAATTTCCAAGTCCTAAATCAGAAATTGGTGGGCTGACTTTTAAGCATAGAGCTGCCATTGCTTGGAACTCACTTCCTGATTCGATCAAAAAGTCTTCTAGCTTAGAATGTTTTAAAAAAAGACTTAGATCTAGCAAGGACTTAATTAATTCTATAAGCTATATAATAAGGAATCTTCCATGATAAGAAATAGGAATGAGGAATTTCTTTATTAATCTTATTTATATTTGTATTGTTATTATTATTTATTATTTAACTTCTGTTGATTTTCTATTTATTCACATGTATATACTTAAGTTTTTAACAAGTAGATAGGCAGGTCCACATCAGGACTTCAGTCTTGCGTATTCTGTAACCTGCGTTACCAAATAAACTATGTATGTATGTATGTATGTATGTATGTATGGGTGTTCTAATTTTCCGCTTCACGGATAAAGTACAGCAAAGTAATACAAGTTAGTCGTATAAAAGGCTTTGCCATAAGTACCTTTTTCACTTTGGCCTGTTGGGCCTTCTCCTCTTTCTCACACTTTTTTGAGAATCTTTCCAACTGCTTCGTTGTAAACTATAAAATGTTCATCCAATTTACAACACTGAATTACATAGATCACATAGTTAAACAAGACTCTAACAAACAGCAAATCAGTCAAATAAGAAATGTTCAAAAATCATTGTTGTCTAATAATATTTAAAAAGCTTACCTTCAGTTGGAATAATGTATCTACCAAATAAACGAAAAGGTAAAATCAGTATAAAATAGGCATACAAAACCTCCACAGATAAATAATAATATCTTACCTTCTACGGAAGGCATCGTTCAAGTTTTGGCGAAATTATGGCCTCAAAAAGTGTTCAGTCGGTGGAATATTTAGTCCACCATCACAAGCTAAAAATAATAATTAGGTCCCAGTCTCTTTAGCCAATAATGACGTCATTCTAGTTACTACATATAAGGGTATGTTTACCAAATAAGGAAAGGGACACCCTGTTTCTTTTACAGTGGGCCTCGTCCACCCCTCATATCACTACACTCGTGTTACGCCATCTTGAGAGAGCAGGAGAATTTTTTCGTGAACCGAGGTTAATTATCTCTTTTTTACAGCATTCCACGTGGAAATACAGTGAGTAATTCTTATTTTGAATTAGTCGATATCCTATAAGTGTCATCTTTTATGGTTTTGGGTCAGGAAACTGGAAGATATAAGCTTTCAGTTCTTATATAATTGAACTGGAGCAACTGTACCGGGACAGCAATTGTTTCGAACCATCCAGTAAGTTTCGATGATATTTGGTCGCTGTGTACGTGGGAAGAAATGATGAAAATACATTGTCTTAGTCGGAAAACGTTAAATAAGTGGCTGGTTTGTTTTTTGGAAGGTTAATTATGCCTCTAAGGAAGACGAAGCGTAATTAAGGTTGTTGTCAATAATCGAGATTTATTTCTTACTTAACTTTTCCCAGAAAAAGGATGAAACAAACTCTTTTTCCATTTGGGGAATTAAACAGTTAAGTTAAATATTAACATGATTTAGTGTGGTTCCACTTGTAACTAGATGCCACTTTGTCGTTCTTTGACTCTAAAGAGGCCAGGAAGAGCTCATCATGGGCACAAAACTTACAGCAAAGGGTCATTTTTATTCGGATAATTAGCCATCTTCATGGGCAAAGTGTTAGACAGTGCCATCAATGCTTAAACAGGCACTGGCATTCTCCATGAAATTTCCATTTTTATTCAACTATATAGCTTCTTATTTCAGAAAAATACCATGAGATTGTAAGCCTTGTCATGAGTCCGTGAGAACTTGACTTTCACCCTTGACTCTCTGAGGGACTGTTTGTATGATACCGGAATGAGTTTTGTTCCAGAGTGAAGTTCATACTGCATTCACATTATAAGATTGAATGGCCTAGCCTAAGGCATTTTTTGGTCGCATGGTTTTCAGGCCAGTTCAGATACACATGGACCACTTGCTGCAGGGTAAATAATTTGTGATTTTCAATCCGGAACAAAGTTTATTTTCAGTTGTCATGGTACCAGAATGAAATTTTGTACCAAGGCAGAAAGAGAATTTCATTTGGAATGAAAACTGGAATGAACTCGTTCAGGAATTACCTGTGCGGAAAGGAAATGAGTATTATGTAAACAAATACAGAGAAATATATGGAGATGGAATGAACTCATTCCAGAATGAAAGTCATTCCGGTATCATGTGAATAATAGTGAATTCTGTTCTTTACTTGCCCGACGAGCCAAAAGGCAATGTAGGTTCAGGCTAGTTGACTTTTACTGTAATATCTATACACAAATATGCTGAACTTTTGTTTTAAAGGCACTTACCATGGCTGATGACTTTGATGTAGATGTGGAGGCCATGCTTGAAGCTCCTTATAGAAAAGAGGTGAGTTAACGTACTGTGCAGCAGTTACATTTATGCGCAGATTGCACAGAGGGTCAGATCAGGTAGTAGCAACATTAATTTTGACAGGGTTTCCTCCTTTAGTTGAGTGCAATGATTTGTATATGTCCTAAAGTCTTTCTGAGTCTTTTTCACAGACTGTAGTGTTAACTGCCTTGAGTTAAATGGCAGAGAACTTTTGCACTCTAATCTAATGGTCAAGCAATTACTGCAACTAATCAGTCAAGTGATTTTGTTGGCTCACCAAAATATCTGACCCCACTATCTTATTTTCTGTTTTGTAGAGTTGAAAATACAGCACAACTGGCCTTAGTGAGGTAGTCAACCACCTCGAAAGAAGAGACCTTATTTTTTTATACCTCTGTGGAAAAAAATAAAGATAAACCAGTATTTACTCCTGCTGGTTTCTGACCAAAAATGGACCCTAGGAAAGAATTTTATAACAAAAGTTGCTTCTAATATTCTCTACCTCTGAAAATGGTTAATATTTTTATTATTATCATTGATGGGGCTTGTTCACAGAGGTTTTCTTTTTTTCCCAACAATTTGGTGATCATGAGAACAAGCGCGTAGCGCAAAAAAAAAAAGATTATTAACCTATACAAAAATTAATTTTATTAGAAAGTGGAAGCACACAAGCTTTCCAGTGTTGCTTTGATGCTCATTTACCTAATGATCATCTTGACATTATTTTCCATTTTTCTTTTAACTGTAGTGGGAGTTGTTTCAAACAATTTGATCAAATCTACTTGTATGTATTTCTCTAATTAGACTTGAGTGCCTTCTTCCTAGCTTTTGAGATGTTTCTTAGAGGTGGGTATGTGGTGCTAAGCTTTCCTTGCAGCTCTTGTAGTTGTTACAGCTCATTCACATTCAGTGATATAGGTACAGTAATTAGTACACTTCATTCTCACCTTTTGAAATGAAATTAATGAATCCAAGTAATCACAGCCACATTTGAAGAGCAGTCGCATTGTTTTGTTAGTGTTGAATTCACTGGGATTAAATTGCCTAACAAAGAGTAGTATGAATTGTTGAGCTGTGCAGAGAATCAGATGAGTGATAATGATGTTAATTTGCTCATTTTGATGTTGCAGACCCCACCTACCCAAGCAAATGGAACCAAGAGTGATTCAAGGAGGCAAAGTGATGATGACGAGAAGAGAAGACGGTAAGAAGGCAGGGATTATTGTTACCAAGCAGCAAATGGTAGCATACATGTACATCATTCACGTGTCCCTTTTTTTGACCTTCCAAATAGTTAAATAGGAGAACTTTCTCTTCTGCCTTCTCTGACTGGCAGCTTTGGTAAAAATGTAATGGAAACTAAAAAGCTTCTTCACAAAAACAAAAAAATGTTTTTGCAATGCATCATGTACGTTTATGGTACCTCAGATAACCAGACTACAGACTATTACCTAACACCAATATTTTGTGTTTCTTGTCCATGAAAAGGAAGGCTTAACACTATCTCCTGACAAAATAAAACACGTGGAATCTGAGCGAATATTTCTGTTTTCGCCCTAGGTAGAAATTTTAGGTTTTCCAAGGAAATATAACAGCAGATGATCACTGGACTGCAAGATGTCTGGTTTTTGATGTAACAGGTTGAAGTAAAGGAACTAGGGGAGGGATATGGGCTTTACCTACTTCAGTATCAACATAACAGCTAGTTATCAAAACTCAAACACGGTGTAATGCCACTGAGAAATGGATGGCTTGTAGATCTTTCTGAAGAAATACACATTTTTTGTAAATTGCACTTTTTGTCAGGAGTATGTTGAATTGTAGACAATTCTAGGGTTTCCTGTTCTGCACTTAAAACAAAGGTCATCCTTCTGCAACATAACAGGAACTTCTTAATATTAAAGCTAAAGAACTTTTTTCATTAACGGGCCATTTTACAGATTGAAAAATATTTCATTTTTAATGCTGATGTGACCCGTTAATTTCTTGCTGATGAATTATTTCTTTACACAAGAACTGAAAAATTTTAAAGGATACTTCAAAACATGGTTCAGATACATGCAGTGTGGTCATCAAACAAACGTCTTAAGCTTTGATCTACTAAGTTAAGTTTGGTTTTTAGCTACAGATGTACCATAACATGTTTTCTCTCATTTTAAACAGTTCTTTGCATCTGAACATGATCCACTAAAGCATTTGAAGGTATTGTATTTCTCTACAACATCAGTGTTACACTGCGGAAACTTGGCTGCCAGAACTGAAGAGTGACTAACTTGACCAAGCTAAAATTCAATACTCCGCCTACCTTAAATCAACAATACCTGTTTAAGGGAAGCATCTGTAGAACGCTGTAGACATGGGTGCCGTAAAACACCCACCAGTGGGTGTGGTTACAAGGGTTGTTAAGGAGAACCTGCTTCTGTTATGCATAATCAGACAGGTCAATAATAACAGTCAATATATTGTTCTGTTTATAGGGGACATAGAAATCGCAGTCGCAGTAAAAGCCGAGACAAGTAAGATCATTTTTCAACTGTTTGTTTGGCTTAATACAGGTTTAGCAGTTGGCAACCCGTTAGTTAGTGTACAGAAGGCTTTGGTAACATGTTCCTTCATTTTCTTAGCACTTTGACTTAGAATTCAGTAATCAGTAATATTATGCCTAGGTCACTGTGATTTATTCTTGTTGGTCCTAGCATTCACAGTTTTTTGTTTTCTCTGTTCCAGGGGTCGCCGACGTCGAAGCCGTAGCCGTAGTGGTAGCCGCAGTCCTGGTCGTGACAGGTAAGGACTGATGTCTGGTTGACTCAGATGAGTTTCCAACGGTGTTGGCCCCCTGGGGAAAGTTGTTGATGAAACATGAACTAGCATGAACTTTATCTTGGCAAAGTTTGCTCACCCATCAGACAACTAGTCTTATTGTAATAACATGCTAGCTGGACGGGTTGCTTCAGAGTTGCTCCACTAGCCCTCGGCTATCGTAAAACACTTTTGTGGTGCTGTGATTCCAAAGAGGGGCTAATAAGCACTACAATATCTTAAGGAAAGAGTCAGCAAAACATAAATTTGAACATCATCTGTTTAATAAGCATAAGCTGAGTAAATAGATGAAAGAAAAAAGTGCAAATTGTGCAATTTTGTTTTGCCTAAAAGAAGGAAAAGACATGGCAATTCACAGTGTTGAGAACAGGTCTGAGAGGTATCAAAGAGGTGTAGGATGGGAAGGATGTCCTTTTAGCTATGTATCGATCACTTGTCACAATAGATAAAATAATATAAGGGTTTATATCTCACATGACAGATTAACTTGTTCTGATAACTCAGGATAATTTGCTTACCGTCTTGTCATGGACATTCTCAAAACTATAAGACTCGTTTCTGCCAGAAAAACTATGATAAGTAGTTTCATCACTGTTTCTTTTTGATTTACTTCATATTAAGATTGTTTCTAGAAAAGTTCTTTTTGGGTCTGCCACATCTTGTTTTTCATTTCATTTGCAAAACCAACAAATCATGTTCAATTCATTGTTGTAATCCAATTGTTACTTAGTTTGGCTCTCATTCTGAGCTGGATAACGAGACTTCTGACAGTCTTTTTGGCACCTAGAAAGATGTTCCTAATGCATTTAATGATACAACTGTTTAACCAGCAGTAAAATTCTAACAAATTTTTTGGTTTCTTCTCCAAAGAAGTCGCCGTCGTCGTAGCCGGAGCCCTGGTCGTGACAGGTAAGGATAGCAATAATTGAAATTACTGCACAGCTTTTGAAACTGTATTTTCAGAGTGGTAGATATGTCAAGTGTTCTACATGTACTAATTTATTTTGTCAGCGGTATTTATTTTTTTCTTTTTTTTTTTTCCTTTTTCAGAAGGCGACGAAGCCGCTCAGGAAGTCGTGACAGGTACAGGAAGACTGATTTGTTTACAATTTCAAAGTAATCTGGTTACCCCTGCATCCCACATTCCTGACCCAAAAATTCCCAAAGAGGCAAAATATTAAAAATTTATGGCACTTGGACACAGATTGATTTAAAGGCCAACAAATGTTTTTTCGCATCTTTTGCGGGGGCAGGAAAACATTCACTATAATTACACAGCTCCAAACACTGAATCCACTGAAAGTGTTCCAGCTGTTCCTGTAGGACTCAGAATAGTGGCCTGGCGATTGGCTAGATGGTAGGCCAAATTTTAGATTTGGCAGGCACATAATATAATTATAATGATGAACTGTCAAAGATGAGATGAGTTGCATGATCATCACTCCATGGCAGAAGTACCTTTCTGTTATTTTTGATATCTCAACTGCTCATTGGATTTAAAGATGGGAAAAACAAATTTTGTTTGCAAAATATTACTAAATTATATGTAACACATATGAGGAAAAACATGTGCACAAGCAGATCACTGGAATTGTTTAGTCTTACAGGGTGGAAAGAAAGTCAGTTTTACAGCTTGCTATTCGGGCAAGTTTTAGTTGGTATGTACTAGCTCAAAAGTCATTTTAACTAGCCCGATGATGAGCAGGGTTGATAACAGTTCTTTTGTGATTATTCCTTATTCCTTCTTCACTTGCCAGGCAGGCAAGTTAAGAACTGAATTCACTAGCCCGACAGTAAAATCCACTAGCCCAGGGCTATTAGACACGACTTTCTTTGCATGCTGATCTTAATTTATGACTGGCACCCAAACGTGTTAAAACTTTTTTAACTTTTTGTTTTCTTATTATTGACAATATTGGTTTTCAGGAGGCGGAGACGTCGAAGCAGCAGTGGCAGTAAGAGCCGTTCAAGAAGCCCTGATAAAAGACGCAAAAGGTTTGTATAGTTAAGAACAAGTTGTGTTGTAATGTTTGTTTCTTGGGTAGCAATAAATTTTGTGATTACTGAGAATGAAGACCCCAATAATTAAAAATGTTATTTGTTTGTTTGTTTTTCTGGGGAATGTGAAGTGGCAGGCAAAGAAGTGCAAGTCACAGTCCAAGCCCAAGTAAACAAAGAAGAAGAGATGAGCAAGAAGGAAGTGATGGCAACAGAAGCCCTGTGGAGCAACATCTAGAAAGGTATTTACTTTCATACACTGAAACAAGGGAAACCAATACAAGTAAGGTGAAAAGTGCTATCTCTAATGTACTTGACTCCCCTGTCTAACCCTGTCATGTTTGGCTCTTTTGTGTAGAAGAGAACTGAAACCTGCAGAGGATATAACACCAGAAGAAAGAGATGCTAGAACAGCTTTTTGTATGCAGCTGGCAAGGAATATCAGGCCCAGAGACTTGGAAGAGTTCTTTTCAAAAGTGGGACAAGTAAGTCATCATTCTCCCAATTCTTGCTGAAAAAAATCCTCCCCCCCCTGTTTTGTTCGTTTTGTGTTTGGTCAGTCTGTCAACTTATTCTTTTTTTCAGGTTGCAGATGTTAGAATTATATCAGATCGCAACTCCAGACGATCCAAAGGAATAGCCTATGTGGAGTTTACAGATAGATCTGCTGTGCCATTGGTGAGTTAAGCTAAGTCTTCTTCTTATAACATTCCTGTTATTCAGAACACTGTAAAGTTCTTGCCTAAAATGTTGTGTTATGAATCTCTTGACAAGCTGCATCTTTTTGGTTTCAAGGGCTTGTTTATTTTGATTGCTTTTTTTCTGTGCAAGTTCAACATTTTGGCTCTGTTATTCCAGCTGACAAGATCAAGATCATTTTTAGCATTAGATCTCCTCTGTTCTGAGTTCTTGTTTTGCATTTAGTGCAATCGAAGAACCAGCCAAGATTGGCTTAAATAGGGTTTTAATTACCTGTTAAGCTGGGCAAATGCTCTTCAATGATTGTAAAGTATTTTTACTTTTTGTGACAGTAATGGGTCTAATGCTCTCTTGGCACCAACGGTTTGACAGTTTTTGTACATATAACAAGATGAGTTTTTGTTTGGTATTTTTAGGCAATTAATCTGTCTGGTCAAAAACTTTTGGGTGCACCTATCATGGTAATGCCTACACAAGCAGAAAAGAACAGAGCTGCTGCTGAGGCTGAAAAGCTGAAGCAACCACCTGGACCAACAAGACTGTATGTTGGATCCCTGCATTTTAACATCAACGAGCAAATGATCAAAGCAATATTTGAACCATTTGGAATTGTGGACAGTGTACAGTTGATTTATGACTCAGAAACAGGGAGATCAAAGGGTTATGGCTTTCTCCAGTTCAGAGATGCTGAGGCTGCTAGGCAGGCTATGGATCAGATGAATGGTTTTGAACTTGCAGGGAGACCTATGAAAGTTGGGCCTGTGACAGAAAGAGGAGATTCCTCCTCATATTCATTCTTGGATGATGAAGAGTATGAAAAGGGTGGTGTGGAACTGAACTCCACAGCTAGAGCTGCACTTATGGCTAAATTATCACAAGGACATTCAGCTGGTTTGTAGTAGCTATGTCATAAACTGTACTCTTGGTAAAACTTCGTTTTATTCTATTCTGTCTTTGATCAGTCTTAATAATTGTGATTAAACAAATAAGACTGCCGCTCTGTTGTACTGTCAACTGTTTTTGTTTATTTTAAAAGGATATTTGATCATATATAAGGGAATACATCGACAGACAAAACGGGACTTTCCTTAGGCCCTGTTACTATTTTAAACTAGCAGTAACCGATGGTTAGGAAGTGCAGGCAAACGTGTGGGCTTACCTCAGAGATGGGATTGAGGAGAACCTCTTTCATAATTGTGTAGAGAAAGCCCTTGTAGTTCCAGCTTCAACAAAAGGAATCACAGCGGATCATGGATGTGAAACTTAATTGAATAACACAGTAAACAAGACTCATAATATTAGTCTCATAATACTATTAGTCTGCAATTGGTTAGGAGTGAGGAGAGAAGGGTGTATTCACAGGCAAAGATACAATGAAAACAGTGATGCGTGACATACCATGACTGCAATATGCATATCAAGTCTTATTATTCAATCGGTTTTTGAGTCTGTGTCCAATGACCAAAGGCTATTGAAAATAACGAAAAATCTCAGTTTACCATTGAAGTTTGAAAGGTAGTGAATCTTTCAGGTGACAAGCAACGTAACATGCTTGGAAACGTATAAAAATTTAAAAACCATGCACTCTAGTGAAACCTGAATAAACTTAATTTACATGGATTTCTAGACTTTGCCATCACTCGTATCTCACTGAAAACTCATTGCACACTGAGCTTAGATCAGGCTCTACTTTAATCTTCCTGGGTAAATAGATTCCCAGCCAGCAAGACAAATGGAAAAGTCTCACATTTAGTACGGTTCTTGTGTACCTGAATTATGCATGCTTGCGAATCTAACAATGATTGTTGCATCACTTGCATGTGTGTTTACATGATCACTGTGACATGCTCAACACCAGGGCTTCTCTGGCCACATACTATGCATACTGGTTGGTACAACACTGGCATCTCAAAAATGTGGACAGATTTTGGAAAAAGCTTGCTGTACAGTTTATAAAGTACCGCTGACCAAGAATAGTCTGTGGGCTCCTCTTGTCGCCCACAATGATATTTTTTATGCAGTCTGTTGATAGTTAGATTCACCAGTTGCTAATTATGGGAATGGGATAAAAAGCATCAGGGGCTGGCATCATAGTTTAGTGTGAAGTTTGTAGGTAATCTGTTTGATTGTTAGGGTGCTTTTTCCAGTTAAAAAAAACTGAAAAAACTAAACATCATATACCATACAATGTTGCACCTGTCGCACCTCTATTGGGTAGAAACTTGTGTGAAAGCATGTTACTTATTTCAACAGTGCTGACTACAGTTGAAACTTGTTAAGCAGCCAGCAATCAAGGTCCTGAAATCATTGTAAAACGTTATGTGATTAAGCAGCCACTTGCTCATTCAGTTTAACCTGATCTATGTTATTATTATTTTCATGATGCAGGACTCTCTGTGCCAGGAGTTCCAGCACCAGTAGTAGGTGTACAGCAAGCTATGACTGCACCAGTCTCAATTCCACTTCCTACACCTTGCATTATGCTGCTCAATATGTTTGATCCAACCAAGTAAGTTGTCAGTTTCTCCTTCACCTTTTGGCTTGGTTTGCTTTGGAAAGTTTTTATAATCATTGCCTCCTTTGTTTTAATCCTTCATCATCGTATTGAACATGTATTTAGTGCCTTTCCCCCTCCCCAACCCCCATCGTTTTACCCTTTTTTAAAGTAAATACTCTATGACGTAATTAATTAATAACTTATTAGCCATATATGGTTAGGAATTTTTTGTTGTTTGTAATTTTAGTTATTTGGAAATAGTTGATATACTATTTTATTGTGTAAGACTCCAATTAAAAAAAACTTGTCTGTATGTATGTTTACCCCCTTTAAGATGGTGTTGTTCATTATGTTAAAATATACCTTATTATAGGAAATTAACAATGCACTTTATTAACGTAAATCACATTAATTTAATGCATCTTAATTTATGTCAGTGTTATTTAAATCACACTATTTTACATCATTGTTGTTTTACAGCACCTTTATTTCAATAACAAAACCTCATCTGCCCATAGTTCCTCTATCAATGCCTTGGACTCGCTATCTGACAGTTCTTCTATAAGAATTGAGTTAAAAATGTGTTTTGAACAGGTCTTTGTATTGATCCATTTCCTCGAGGGGATAGCTAACTTCTTCGGTCTCTTGTCTTAAAATTTCATGGCTCATTTATCCTCCCAATGCACGGTCACCTTTATTCTGAGAAGTTTGTATTGCAGCAAATTCGTGTGAAGTAAAGTTAGGTGCACATTGTTTTCGAAAATTTTGAGTTAATTTGATGCATGTAAACGTAACTTTTTATTTTGTGTAACATCAATTTTATTCACATTGTGAACATACATCATTAATTTCTTATAATAAGGTATACTTAGCATGAGCTAATAAGGTTTAGTTTGCAGGGAAAAGGGTAACCCTGTTTTGCCTGCATGCTTCCTGCTTGACACAGTGTCTTCAAAGAGAACCTTAGATTTTACTTTGTCCCTACAACATTACATGACTTATTAGTGTCTCTCTTTCCTCATGTGCCTTCCTCTGAATAGCCCCCTACCCCCCTATTACTAAACTGGTTGATAATATACACAAAAAAAAATACTCTGATTGGCCAAGAAAGGAGTGCAGTTTTGCTGTAACACGAGTGCAAACTTGTACTTGTAACACGAGTGCAAATTACAAATGGTATCTGATTGGCTGAAAACACAAAAGAAACCACCAAGAACCAATCACATTTTAGCTGTTTTAACAACAAAATTTAAGAAAATGGCCATGGTTTTCTGCAAACAATGATCTGATTTTGTATGCAAAACAACAATAGAAAAGTTTAAAAAACATTCCAAAAACCCAAACATGTACGTCTTTCTGGCTAAATGTATTGAAAATGCAGTGCTAAGAGAAAAATACTGTCAACAAAAGTGAGGAAAATGAGCCAGAGAAACTAAACAAGCTACTTATAACAGACTATGCTAAGTTAAAAAGTAAAGAACAAAAACGGTGGCAACCACATGCAAGCCATGACAGCTACACTTTTCAGGCATTTAAATGAACAAGGATAAAAGTTTTCCATGGTAACAACAGGGATTTCAAGACATGTACGTCATTTGTTGGAGGAGAAAGGTGTTCAGATGCCCTCTTTTAAGTATTTTGTCGAGCGAAGACTTCTATCTAAACACTGGCCATGCAATGGTCTGGTTTTTTTTTCTACCTCAGTAGCAAACGAAACCGAAAATTTAAACATCTGGTTCAAACTAAACCAATGGGCGAAAATACCAGAGCTAACATAATGAAAGTATCCATAGCTGGTACTAGCCTTAAAGAAAAGGAGAAAAAAGTTTGAGAATCATACTACAAGAAAAACAACATTCAGCTAGCTGAAGAAAGCAAAGATTGTTCGTTCAGAATATATTGCCAATGTAAGAGGGCACAGAAGCATAAATTTCCTCAACAACTACGATGAAGCTGATGAAGAAGAGCGACGATGACTCTCTTTTGCAATAGGCCAAGGCCAAATGAAATAATGAAAACCTCAGCACTGAGAAAATGCAAATATTATATTTAATTAATACTGGTAGTTTCCAACATCACAACAACTGTGGCTCCACTCACCCATCGATGGCAGCATCGAAAGAAACAATTGCCTCCTTCATTTTCGGATTGTAAATCTCAAAAATTTCTCCATGAATCCAGCTGTGATGGGGTCTCAAGAACAGGCAATGATGAATAGTCGTTAAACAATTCAGCAAGTGTCTTTTATCTTTTGCTGCTCGAAGTGTTCTCCTGATTTAAAAACGGCAGTATACTTCTTGTAAAAGCTTTCTTGTAAACGCCGAGCTCTCATAACACTTAGTTTTACTGATTATTGTAAACCTAGTCATTTTTAACAGGCTTGTGACCGTGTAAAGTAAATCCTTGCACATTTCCAAGTTCTTAGCAGAATGATTTTGGAAGCGTTGGTCTTGAAAACGTTTGAAGTTGACAAAGGTTGTAGTCTGTTTCAGCCAATCAGTTGAATGAACTAAAAATGCGCACGCTGTCAAAATTTGTTGTTGTAGTTATGTTTTTTGTGTATATTATTAATAAGTAATCACATGATTTTTCTTGTGCAATTTGGAATAAATAAGCACTTGTAAATTTTTCAAAGACCACAAAGAGTACTCGCCCTCGGCTCGTGCACTTTTGTCTGGTCTTTGAAAAAATTACTTGTGTGCTTGTGTATTCCAAATAATATATTGCACTCAAAATTATGTGATTACCTATACAAATATATTTAAAGTGACCCCCCCTCCATTTCCTAAATCCATTAATATCAGGTATATCAAAAGGAAAAATAATAAAACATGTCTTTCCTCCGTTAAGTTCCAAGGTTCTGTTCGTATGTGTTTTCAGACTTCTTATAAATGTATCCCATTTGTTATTTTAATTTTTGCCCTATTGCTGCCCTCCTGCTAGAGCAATTATAATAGTTGTTCAAGGACCATCTGTCTGTTCACTTTTTCTTGGTCTTGGTGTAATGGGCTGATTGTCTTGGTCTCAATTTGTCAACCCACTTTTTCATGGGCCGAGATAGTTGTTTGCTAAACAGCAAGGTGTTCTTTAATTTCCTTATTTTGTTTCCAATAGAGAAAAAGACGTTGACTGGGATGCTGATATTAGAGATGATGTTTTGGAAGAGTGTACCAAATATGGTCAAGTATATCACATTCATGTGGATAAAAGCTCAACCCAGGTAAAAGAAAGGAAAAAAAATACACGTAGACATTTATTTTTGGTGAATCAACTTTCTTATAGCCCGAAATCTGAGGGGAAACATGTTAATCTAATTGTTAATTTAATTTATAGGGAGCTGTTTATGTGAAATGTAGCAGTCCTGAAGGAGCTGCGAATGCATCAAGAGCCCTTCATGGAAGGTGGTTTGCCGGTAGGTTCACTAGCCATAATGTCATTTGCAGAATATGCCACGTGTGTCATTGTGACCTGTTTTAATGTGGATTTTTTCCCCTTAAATTTGTAGGAAAACAAATCATTGCCAGAGCTGTTCCTCTTGCAAACTACCATACTATGTTCCCTCAAGCAATGTCATTGTTGAAGCCATTACAGCCATCCACGTATTAAACACTATTTTCTTAATAATATTTCAAGATGTCAGTGGCAGAAATATGTTCCTTTACTGATTGTAAATATCTGTAAACCAGAAGAAACATCTGTACCAGGAACCCATCCTCTTTCCTTACACTGACACCCATGTGGCTAAAGTTCTTTTGCTAATGATGTGAGGCTTCTTGATGACTGGGATTTTTCCTGAATGGTGGTCTAGACCCCGAATACGACAGAAGAAACACTGGCACACTTCTTAATCCTTTCTTCTGTGTTTAAGGTTACACAACTTTTTAATGACCTTTGGATGGGCTAACAAGTTCTTAGTGAACTGGTTGTGCCCAGATTGTTCGGTTGTGTAACAACCGTATTGTGTCTAACAATAAGTAAATAAAACAATCTTACTACAATGAAGTCTCGGACTGTTCACTCTGGAGCATAAGCATGAAAGCTGCGCAATCCATTGCACTAAACAACAGCTCAATGGGTAGTCTCCCTCGCAGCCGTTTTTAGTATCGTCACGCAACGCTCCTCCCCACAAGAGAGAGGAGGAGGAGCGTTGCGTGACGATACTAAAAACGGCTGCGAGGGAGACTACTCAATGGGAGGCCCTGATTGTTTTAATGTACAGCGGACAGCTCTACTTACGGCCGACTTCCCAAAGAGATGTAGCAGCTGCTTGGAAGAGAAGTCATCAATGGTGCGTTTCCCTGACCCCAAACAATACTAAAACAATTGTAAGAATGACATGTCATGAATTCCTGCGACCAATTAGGAGAGACCTTCCGAGCAGCTCCTACGCGGCCCCTTCCAAAACCCCATTTTTCTCAACTCCCATACAAACTCTGTATTTTTACATTCCCGTAAGCGACTAGCTCCAGTTACGGACACTTTTTCGTGTCCCGAGTGTGTTCGCTCACGAGAGCTTCCACTGTAATTCATTAAAATTTTAGGAATCCCATTTTCAGATTGACACATCGTTTCCTGGAATTTTCGTCTGAAAAGGAATAGAAAAACCCTTGGTTCATCCAAAAAAAGTGTTCTCTCAAAAACAGAGAAGAAAAAGAAAGAGGATAATGCGTAGAATTCTTGTAGCCTACAAAAAAAGGCGAAGGAAATGTGAAATAAGCTCTTTATTTGAGTGTCGATGTATTAAGCACGAAAGCACTTATTGAGGAGGTTATCATTAGATCCCATCGACCGTAGCCCCTTCGGACACCTTATGAAAGTTACACAACGTAGTTTTCCCCTTACAAGAGTGAGGAAACCTGCAACTTTGCCATCGCGTTAAACATTGGGAGGTATTCTCGTCCCCAAAGCCCGTCGTTTCTTTTGGTCACATGGTCAATTAACACGAGTGGCTCTAGGGGAGAGAATGTTTTGCGTAACCTTTGGTTTTCATTTCTCCTGGGCATTACAGCCCTCCCAAGAGAAATTGAACACAATGCTTATGCGAAATTTTTTGGGGGAAAATAAGGTGCATTATGGGAGATGTGCAAGTGGCGTATATCGACAAGATGACCTTTTGCGCATGATGACTCGCGCATACAAATCCAATTTGTGTACGGGATAGTGGAGAATTTTGGCCGCGGGAGATCTGGGTAAAGATAAGTCGTTCACATTCGTTCTAACATTCGTTCACACACATCGAACCTCAATCTCGTCCCCAGAGCCCGTCGTTTCTTTGTCGAACCTTATCGAACAGTGTCGCGCCAGAGCGGTCGACTGAGATGGTTTGGTAAAAATTCCAGTCCCACAACTAAATATCTACTTTCGTCTCGGTGGATTCCAGTCGCTGCGTTTTCTACATAACCCCTATAGAGCTACATTTTTTTTTCTGTGATGCGACACTTAAGATCTCCCGAGTGACGTGGTTATTTAATGTCAGTAGAAATCCGAAATCCATATCTTACAATGTATGTAACATTTTCCTAATTAAATACATATTGACTTTTCTATGGAAAGGGTTTCTGTGTCATTTTAGTTTTAACTTTGTAGAATTCATCATTATAATTAACAATTATTCCTCGAGCCCGAATGGGCTAGTGACTCAGAGGCCACGAGGCAGTGATGAGGGCGAGAGGAATAATTATTTTAGTAAAATGCGACTAGTTGATCAAAAATATCGCGAAAAAAAATTTAGCTAGTTAAAGCAAGACTTCAATCCTTTTTTGCCGCCAAAAAAACCCGCGCTTTTCGCTACTAGTGGGCTATAACATATAGCCTAGAGTAGCTCAACCAATCAGAACGCAGCATTGTTAATAGACCACTAGTTACAGTCAAACCCCTTAATACAGACACTCAGGAGACCATAGAAAGTGTCCGTAGAATCATAAAGCGGGTTCAATATTGAGAAGATGTAAGACCTTTCTTTTCCCTGGGACAAAGCTCCCTTGTGCTTGCACTCGTTGCATTTTCTCACATCCCTCCTGTGTGATGTTTAGAGTAGAACTCAAGAGCTGTGAATAGTCTAGAATTTTATTGGTGAAGCGTTTCTCTTCGGTGCAGGGCTTTTCTACCCTGCGAGCAGAGGCCCTTATCTAGGAAGATCGAAGGGCTTCTGCTCGCAGGGTAGGGCTTTTCCGAAGGACACTGAAATAAGTGACTGGAGTGTGTGTGATTTTCATTAAGAGTCTGCAAGACAACAGGTACTTACACGGATTACCGGTTTTTTTCGGTACAAGGTTATTTCAATACAAGTTCACTGAGTGAAGTTGTAATCAGATAATTTCACGTACAAAATACTTGGCTCAAAGAACAAAGAATATTCACACAAAATGTGTTTTCTGGTTTACGCGCAAACTTGTAGCCTGTGTACAGACGTGCCCCCTCCTGGAGGGGGCACGTCTGTACACAGGTTATTCCAGTTCGAGCTTACTAGCTTAGCTATAAAGGTTGAGAACATCCTAGAGAATAACTGCGTACGTGCCCTAAAAAAGTCCAGAGTCGTGTTGGTCTGTCAACACCTTTTCAACTGTCAGAGAAAAAAACAAAACAAATAATTTACGCAAATGTAACCGGAACACGATTAACGACGGTGGTTCACAGACGTCTCTTCTCCGATTTTTTTCTGAGGCCGGGGGGGACGTCTGTACACAAGCTACCAAACTGGCTGTAATAACATCTCGGAAACGTTTCTATCGTCATTAATAAAGACGTGACTGCGAGCAGAGATTTAAGACTCGTATTTTTTCAGATAAAAATGTTGACGCTGATAGATACAAGACTGGGCATTAACCCCTCGTCAATTTTTACATCTCCGAGTGACATGGTTATTTGAAATGTCATGGAATGGGGCATTTTGATGGCGATCACGGAAGACATGACTTCGAACACTTTATAGCAAAGAGTGATTCCGCAGAAAACTCAGACGAAGACCCCCGGGACGAAGACCCTGGTCAAAATTTTTTACAACTGAAAATCGTCAGGAGCCGTGTTGTTTCTTACACTCCTTTAGTGTCTAGAAGTCGTTAAAAGCAGTTTCCAGCCGTTTCCAAGTGATTCTGAGGAGGTTCTTCGTTTTCTACACACCGGGGGGAATTGTGTAGAAAACGAAGACCCTGGTCGAAATTTTGTATAATTGGAAATCGTCAGGAGCCGTGTTGTTTCTTACACTCCTTTAGTGTCTAGAAGTCGTTAAAAGCAGTTTGCAGCCGTTTCTTAAACAACTGCTTCGGTCCTACTTGTCCACATGGCCACTCGACGACATGTTGAGGACAGCTGCAAACGCTGCTACAGTAGGAATTTCACGATCACTCCGATGATGAAATAAAAGCAATATATTAAATATATGTAGATTTAAGCGATGAAATTGACGATATTTCTTCGGGTAAAAGACAAATTTTCCTCATATCTCAAATATCGCATCCAAGATGGTTCACAACAAGGTCACGCACGTGTTGCACGTTTTCCGCTAACATAGAACAATGCTTAAACTTGGCCGTGAGGTAAAAGACAGCAGATTGGGGAAAATAAAGCTAAAAAAAGTTGTTTTTGTCACGTTTCTCGCTGTTTTAGCCAATCAGAACCCTTGATTTAATTGAAATTAATGATTAAAAGTTAACACCTTTTAATCGATTTTGCGTTTTGCCTGCCTAGTTTTTACACGGACCATTACTTAAATGAGGCGTTAGAAAATCTCAATCTTTAATCTCAAAATGAAATTTTGACTCCACTGCCGCAATCCCTTTGTAAATGAAATTCATTCCTAAATTCTGAGCAGAAAGCGCTGATAAAAAACATGTCAACAACAGAAGCCGATTAGTATTGGCTCCTGGCGCTAATTACTGTAATGGCTGTCAAGCTTCAAATGTTTGGCGGCGAAACATGTCACGTTCACGTGAAAGTAGACCGCGGGGGTCACGGAAACAACAGACAAAAATAACCTTCTCAGCACGCGCGCGAACTTTAAATAGATTTAAAAAAATTATCATGGGGCACAGGGATTCGCTCTTTTAGCTCATTCTCTCTTGCCGGTATGGATCGGTATGGTTTTCGCGCCGGCGCAAGTGCATCTGCCGGGCCGGTGATTCAGTGGCGGATCCAGGGGAGGGGCCCGGGGGACCCGGTCCCCCCTTATTTTTGGAGCAAACTGAGACCCGAAGGGCCGAAAAAAAATTTGTTTCTGAGACCGGCCCTCCCCCCACTTATCTCGGGGTCTGGATGATTCCCCCCACCACCACCCCTTTATCTGAAGGTCTGGCTCCGCAACCTGTTATAGTGTAAACATATCCTTGATCAAAGGTGTTTTTTAAAACATGCACCCTTTAATAAGAAAACAAACTGATACCTCTTTTAATATAGCACTAGTCAGCTGCGTCCGTATTGGAGGAGAAGGACCAGCATGAATGTTATATAATTATTTATATTTAAGCAAAACGTGACGCTTCACTTTCGAGCTCGAGACCAGCGCGGTGCACCTTCGCTCCGGTACAGAAATCGCGCCGAATTCAACGCTTTTATGTGTGAACAAAAGACCTATCCGGTATGGCTCGGTATGGTTTTAGTGACGGCGCAAGTGCATCCGCCGGTCCGGTATAGTGTAAACATATCCTCGATCAGAGGTTTTTTAATATGCAGCCTTAAGTAAAGAAACTGATTCCTCTTTTAACGTGGCACTAGTCAGCTGCGTCAATATTGGAGGAGAAGGACCAGCGTAAAAAAAAATATATATATATATTTAAGCGAAACTTACATGGACTGTTCCTATATTCTCCTCAAGAAAAGAAATAATTCCACTTCTTCTTGCAGCTCGCCCGAAATAAGTTGCGTTCGGCCGCGATAAGTTTTCACTTGCAAAACAGTCTTAGTGATATCTCCACTCTAAGTCTAGTTTATTATGAGAAATAAGTATTGTTTGTTTTTAAACACATTAGGTGTACAGAGTGTCTCAAACCAATCAACTGACTACCAACAAAATAAGGTTTTTTAAATAGCCTACAGCAGCTTAACACGATGTTTCTCGACACGCGCGCCATTTAAGGGCCATTTAAAAAATTGCTGATCGCCTAAAGCTAAAATTTTCCTCTGGCATTTTTGAGTACATAATAATTATTCTACTCTTCATTTTGACGGTTATTGAAAGCTGCACGGTTAAAAGAGGCTAAGTGGACGATGAGTGAAGTCTGGCCAGCAGATATCTCACACACCTGCCTCGGGCCATATGATAAAAAACACTGCTCTGTATTTAGCATCCTACATTATTAACTCAGCTGATGTTATGACATCTGTGACATGTCCATCCTGTCAGCAAGCAGAGCAGACTCAGAGCTAAGCGGACACTTCGGGATTTTTATTCACTGGTTCATTTCTCGCTCTCTCTTCTCTTCTCTCTTTTTTTTAATTGGGGAGAAAACTCGAATCTCGAGTTGAAAAGCGCGGTTGAACATGAATACCACGACGGCCAAAATGCAGGGTTCAAACCAAACCTTGAAAATCGAACTTTGTTCAAATACTGGGGAGCACGAAGCTATAACAATACTGAAATATGTGATTCTCAGCGCGATTTTCATTACCAGTCTATGTGGTAACTGCTTTGTTTGCTGGGTTGTTTGGAAACGACTTCGAATGCGGACAGTAATGAATTTTTACCTGGTGAATTTGGCCGTGGCGGACTTGGCCTTCACCGTGATATGTATACCATTCGATATACCCGTGCAAGAGAATTCCTGTGTTTGGCCGTACTTTGCGGCACTGTGTAAGGCGCTCTTCCCTTTGCAAACCATGTGTGCTTATGCCTCGGTCTTCACGCTAACTGCGATCGGCTTCAGCCGATATCGCGCCATTGTGCACCCTCTAAAACCTCAGATGGGTCTAGCTGCTACAAAGAGAAGTATCGTCGCAATATGGATCATCTCTTTTGTCTTGGTTCTGCCTTATGTGTTGGTTTTACAGGTCGATCTTGAGACCGGACACTGCGCCGAGAGCTGGCCTGAACCCAAGGACACATACAGCCGCGTATACTCGGTTACCATATTCATCACAGAATACGCAGTGCCTTTGACGGTGGTTTTTGGTTCATATGTGAAGATCTGCGCCGAACTTCGCAAAAACGGCGCATCGAGAGAGGATTCTCCCACACAACCATATCATGCGCACGACGCGGAAAAAGTGTTGAAGATGTCGATCGTCGTCACAATGGTTTTCGCTTTATGTTCGTTGCCTAACCATATCGTTTGGCTGGCTCTAGACTTCAGTGAAAACAATTGCCCGCAGTGCAATACTTGGGTCATTGTAGCCAATACGTTTGTGTTCGTTAATAGCGCAGCGGATCCGGTAGTGTATACCATATTCAACGAAAAATACCGCGAGGAGTTTAAAAGAGTTATACGCCGAGTAAAACGTCGCAAAACTACAAGAGAACGACACGGAACAATTCTCGAGTTGCTATAAACTATTGTATCACCTGCAAATTTCCGGGTTTTTTTTATTTTTTAATACGTGGTATGGCTCGCCATTCGAGAGGAAAATAAAGGTTCATTCGCCTTTTGAGGAGCTACAAACTACACTCGATTTTGTATTGAAATAATCAGGGCAAGATCCTTTTTGTCACACTAGGGGACATTGTTTCAAGAAGCTGGCACTGGGTAATGTGTTAATAGCTAGAAGTATTTTCTTTTCACTTGTATAAGTTTTTACTTTCGATCATACCCAAAACACACATTTCAATAACAAACGTTTCACAACAGAACAAAAATAACAATTTTACGGTGAAAAAATGAGGATAAGACAGTTTTTAACAGTTTGTCAGCCAGTGAGAAAATTACACTTTTGTCCTCTACTAAGAACAGTAAGCGTGTTTAATGTTTAAGACACACTATAAATTATACATGTAAAAGAGCAGCCGTACTTAACGCTGAATATAATTGGACTTTCTTAGTTATAATAATACAAATTTACCGTGGTTAGTTTCACTGAGTTCAAAAAAAAAATTCTGTAACGGTGACAAGTTCGACAAAGAACCTGACAACTTGATCAGTTATGTAGGCTTTGAATGCGGAGGAGGAAGTCTTTGATTGTTTTGAGCTTCACTCACATACAAGATACATGCTTGCCGATTAATGGTCTTACAGTTGATGTGTTTGTTTTCTCGAAAAAAAGAGAGAGAGAGAGAGATCAAAAATTTAATTCCCGTCCGTCCATTTCTTTCACATTTGACTTTTCATTTTGTTGCAATGATCTACTGTTTTCCTCAAAGGACATAAAGAAGATTCAGGCAATTTCGTCTGGTGAACTACTCTGGCGCCAGAAGTCGATTTCTGTGCTTCTTATGTTGACAAACTCATTATTGATTTAATTCTGCGGAAAAATTAGAGATAAGGAAGTGACTGAGTGCGGAAGGCAATCGAGTCTGAGTATTCATGAACAAAGTTAACGACACCTTTAATTCACCGTGGGTGAAATTATCAACACATAAAACAAATTTATGGACAGTTGACAGTCAAACTATCGCCTTTGAAGGAAAGCCTTATTTAATTTAAGTCATAATAATTAAAATAAAAATCAAGACCATTTAATGGATTTTTTTTATTTCTACAGGGTTCGAACTCTCTTCAAATTCCATGACTATTTCCATGATCTTTTCTATTTATACTACCATTCTTGAAAAATTTCAAACTATCCTTTTTCTAGGACATTTTTGACAAAACTCAGTTCAACAGACATAACATTTAGTGTCCACCAAATAGCGTGCTGTTCGCTCTGTTCGACTGCTTGAAAAATGTTTAAATAATTTGAAACGCAGATGAAAGTAGACTGATTTAAAACAGTGTAGGTATAATTCAACTGAACGTTTTAAAAACCTAAACCTACTTTTTGTAACGGAGAATTCTCGCTTAACACGAAAAACTTCTTCAATAACAAAGTCTGTCACCTTTGCATGCGGTGGCAGCGAGTTGTCAAAAGGAGAAGTATCCATTCAAATGAGTGACAATATATGTCTTTTACTTAACACGACAGAATGTTTTAAGCCTGTTTGAGTACTGTTTTCCAGCGATAAAACACGAAATGTAAAAACATATTTACGTTACTGATCATACCCATCAATACTGAGCAAATTTCTCTTGATCCGAACACCGACTTATCCTGACCACAGATTATCGAGGTTTTTATTTAATAATTCTTCATTATCACAGTATCATCGGCTGCATTTTACACGAAGATTCACAACGGCTCTTGAACTTGCATAAGAGACATCCAAGGCGTTGACTAATTTTCAGTTTAATTTTAATATGAAAACTTTTTCTATTATAGATAAATAAAAATTATCCTCAGCCTTTTAATATTGCTATCTATATCAAAACTAGACTAGAAGAAAGAGCATCTCTCCAGTTTATGAAATGATTTTTTTAAAGCCGACGATCTCTTGGAGCTTTGAGACAATACTGATGAATTTATAACAAGCAAATTTTCGAAATGTCCTCATTGTCCTGCAAGTAGTTTATAATTTAAAGCTTTACACACAACGGGAAACCCCCCAGGCTATTTCACGTTTTTATTGCTTTTTGTCTTTTTCACTGACTCATTCTCCCGAGTACTATTCCGCTCAGTTTAAGACAATCACGAAATTACATACAGACGTCCAAACACTATTCAATAATTATCGTATTCGCATCATTCGCGGAGGGCAAACAACTCGAATCTACCGGATAGCTTTCCCCCGGGGGGGGGGGCGGGTACTCGATATATCCCTGGGTGGTGAGGTGCGGCGCGGCCTCTCATACCCTGACCCTGTTTAAGACAAATATCGCTGATTTTCCTACCCTGTTTAAGACAGAATTCCGATTTTTGATACCCTGTTTAAGACATTTATCCTGTTTAAGACAAAAACTGATAAATCGATACCTTGATTAAGACAAAAAATGATAAATTCGATACCCTGTTTAAGACAAAAATCCCGAAAAACATACCCTGGCTGGCCGCACGTCCCCATTAAGCCCTTATAAGGGAGTACCTCCCCCCCCCCGGGGCTTTTCCGCGGCCGCCACGGTTATCCTACCGAATAGGGCTTCTGTTCACACACAAGACGGTTGTGGCGGCGCGATTTCCGTGACGGAGCGAAGATGCGCTGCGCCGTTCTCTGAGGTCACATATTGGATAGGTTTTCAGTCGCACTATACCGCCACGAAAAGCTCAGTATCCGGTATAGTATGAACATAGCCTAAAGTTGAATCCGGATGATGTGGAGTTTTCCGCCCACTTTACGGTCTTGAGAAACAGAAAAACTCAATGAAGATGATTGTTTTTAGTTTGATTATGGTTTGGTACTACAGTCGAAACGGCCACCTCTCTTCGAAAGCCACATTTTTTTGGCAGACAGTCCACACAATTGACTCTAGTTAAACCTCCCTAAAATGGCCACCTCTTAGACTGCGAGCAGTCTCTCTTTTTCTTCAGATTTAGTAAGGGGAGTGCACGCGCGCTAGCGTTGAGCGGCGAAGCCGCGAGACGCGAGAAACGAGGGCGGCAGCCCGAGAAGAAAAAAGAGAGACTGCTCGCATAGCCACACCCGCACGTGGTCATTTGCGTGTCTCGGGCGTTTTACTCGATGGACCAAGAAAAAGGAGAGACTGCTCGCAGTCTAGCTACCTCTCTATAAAGGCCATTTTCTTCTGTCCCCAAGATGGTCGTTGGAGGGAGGTTCAACTGTTAAAAGTATTGTTAAAAACAGAATCGGCTCCTGGTTAAAAATAATTCCGCTCAGTAGCTTGTCCTACGACATTCGAACCATTTTGCTAAAAATACAAAACTTAACACCAGCAGTCTCTATTCCAATGTAGCTGGCAGACTTATGGTGGCGGACACGTAACTAGCGGGCGGCAAACAAATACAAAAAAAGCACTCGTCGCTCTTGTTTAAACCTCTCTAAAACGGCCACTTTTGTGGCGGACAGTCCATACTTTGACTCCTCTCTACCGGCAACAGCTACTTTCTTCCGTTCCCAAAATGGCCGCTATGGAGAGATTCATTCAGTTGTATTCCTATCATTTACAGTAATAAGTATAATAACACTAGAAATCCCCTCAGATAATTCTCTCACCTCGCCTCATAGCTCCTCATCCCCAAGTAATATAGAAAAATGCTCTCGGTGTCTCGCTCGAAAGCAGGAACGCCTCAACACAGGCTACTCGCCCCATGTATGAGATATCCCGATTCCTGGGCTTTGGAATCCAGAATTCAGCTCCAGGAATCCAAAATAAAAATTCCCCTGACAAGGAACCCGCAATCCAGTATCTGGACTTCTAATTCACAGATTTTCTTCGATTATCTTACATGACGCAAGGCCAGACTAGATCCTTTTGTAAATGCCAATGGTATAAATCATTTTTCTATGCTATCTAACGCAACAATCGAGTGTTATTTGTCTGCATGTTCTTCGCGTTTTCAAATAACGATAGGTAGGTCTAAAGTTCACCAACACAAAAGCAAGGCCAGCAATGATGTAGACCGCAATGACTGTACTCTCCCGGGGTATAAAACACTTAGACAAGGCGTACCTCTCTGGTGTGATGACACTCTGAAAAGAAACGAGAACACTGAGTGAAAAGCGGGTCCTGATTTACAGTGACGGAGCTTTAATCCTTTCGCTCCTAGAAATGGGCAAAGTCAAAATTCAACAAATTTCAAAATCTCACTCTCAGTTACCAAAAAGAAGGGAAATTATGTTGGAGCTCAAGAGAGGGGGCCAGGCTGAGTTCAGACAGAGATGGTAGAATTTATCGCCTTGCCGTTCCCGTGCTAAAAAAAAAAAATTAAAATTTGGTCATTTCACGTCGTAGTCGTGCAGGGACGGCAAAGAAATGCACAAAAAAGCGTGATGCACGTGCAAAGTTGTTGTTTTGCTATCTAAACTTATTGCTTTTTGACGCTGCCGTATAGTTTCGTAGGGTGCCCTATATTTCTCCAGTCTAAGTAGGGATTGGGGAACTCGCGAGCACGCGAGATAAGCGAGAAGCGCGAGAGAGGGATGATGGGAACGAGCGTAGAACGCATCACTCCCTTCGTTCCCGCTTTCCCTAATAACTAACTCAATTTTCCCCTAGTGATCTCGAGCGACTGGGGACGAGGCAGTTCCCATACCCCTAACTACGACGGGAGGCAGGAAGCGGCGACTTACAGTAATAATCAGGGGCGTAGCCAGCTTTTCGACTTGTTGTAGGCCTGGCTGACTGCAGGTGGGAATTTCATTTTCACATATCCTGAAAAATGCTTGTTCAGTTTATAATTCTATTGACTACACGCATGACTAGTACGCACTGACATAACCAATACAAGCTCTTTAACTCGCACCAACAACGCATAATTTATTACAAGTGGTAGAGTGATCAAACCAAAAAATTGTAGGCCTTACGCCCCTGATAATCATTTTGATCTTGGCCCATTTCCCAAGGTGAGGGTTACCTTGTGACATTAGCTTTGTTCACAGCGGGCAAGGCGATCCCGTAAACACGAAAAGGCAGATTAGCTGTAGAAAATTGGGGAATGGCGTTGTCGATTTTCCCTTTCTATTGCTACCAAGAATCTTGATTTATGTACTAGTTCTCAAAAACTCTGTCGTTCGATCGTTTTCAAAGCGCTGCTTTGAGCTCCAGATATGCATGCTTATTCAAAACGTTTTTTAAATTAAATGCCTTTAGTATGAGGGACTTCTAGCGAACGAAAAAACTAAGTGTATCGCTAGAGTCATAACACAAATTGGCTGATCAATATCCCCTGAAGGAACCTCTTCTTGTCATGTCAAACTGACATGAAATGTTTGGAACTCAAGCCTAAATTTCATGATCACAAAAGTGAAAAAAGATCTCGACAGCTCTTGCTAAAAAGCGAATATTTTCTACAAGCAACATTTGGACAACAATCTATCGTATCGTCATAGAAGTCAAAACATTCACATGGGATTGGGGAACTTGGTAACAGGTCTTTTCGCCCGAAAGTTGATTCGCCTGTCGTCAGTTCGCCCGGACTTAAATCGATTCGCCCGATGTTTATGATAAAACTTTTAACCATTAATAACTTGTTTCCACTTATTGGCATTCTTGCTAAAGCCCCTGGTAGAATGACAACGCCTATCACTTTTCCCCGCCAAAATGACGCTGGTTCACGTGCGCGCACTAGTAAGAAAAATATTGCCCTCGTAATTATCCTTGCCATTGAATCCAAAGGCCTCTAATCAATGCTGCAGTCTCATGTGCACTGCTGATATTGCTAACCACTAAAGTACTTCCTTCACTTACTAGCACAAAACTAGGGTTGTTCCTGTTTCTCCAACTGAACGATGGTATAGTCATTTCTGGGGTCCCATCTTCATGCACCAGATAGCAGCCATGATGGGTGTGGCCACTGAGAACCAAGCGTGGCCTAATCAGTGTCAGCAGAGTATTTGACATCTCCTTAGAAACTACTTCCCATTTTTCTCGATTGGTGATTTGCTTTAGATCAGGGGGAGGAGCATCAACGCCTGTGCAGCTCATTTCTGTTTCACGGTACAATGGGAAATGCTACAGAGAAAAATAAGTGCATAGCCTTTTGAGACCCAATACCCACATACAAAATCTCCAGACTGATCTCTATACACTTCCTTAAAGAATCAGTTGAGAGAATCTAATTAAAGATCGAAGCATCTTCCCACTGGTAATCATTTTATTTATTTGATCGTAACATTCTCTCCTGATTATGAATTGATATTGCTTGGAGAAATTTAATGTTGGTTACCCTAGGGATTTAAATAGTGAGTTTACCTTTGTGTGTTGGAAACAATTACAGTTAATTGTACACATGAAATACATGAAACTGATTATTTGAAAAATGAAAAAATTAAGAAATACAGCCGATCAACCTGACTCTCAAACCCTCAGTTTTCTGAAACTCTCAATAATTGAACCAGCTTCCTTTTCCACAGAATGTTGAGAATTCCACTGTACAGTGCTATGAAAGTAAGGAAGTATTGTACCTTAGGGTACATAAGATTCACGGACTCAAAGGGTGTGCAGGGCTGTCCCCCGAAACAATTTAAATTTGAAGTAAATTTGCAGTAAAGGCACATTGTTTGATGGCTGTGCCCATAAAAAGTCAATTTCTGATTTGCAGTCTAGCTAGACTGCCAAGACGTAGGGATGGTGCTCGATATACCAAGTCAATATATGCACTGTTATGTCGTTCTATTGCGTGAAGTTTATTGTGTTATATTTGTGAAAGGGCTAGGGATCATTGTTGTGTTCTTTGTGATGTAACTCAAGACTTGTTATTCACTTAGTATATGGTGCAGCAGCAGCCAGACTTGGATTATACCTGTATAAGTATTGGTGGTGGAGAATCTTTAGGAAGTTCACAGAAAGTTCTGTCTTGTTTCACAATATCTTCAAAGATTTCTTTCTTGGACCTCCGATAACAGTTGAGCTTATCAGCTACAGCATGAAGTTGACTCATGGCTTCAGAACACATGGAACAATCATCACCTTGCAATGCTATGGAATTCACTAGGACAAATCTAAATTGAAAGAGCAAATTGTTAACCTTTTTAATTAAGCATTTCATGTCCGTAAGAGAGCTGGGGTAAAGCAAGTGCGCTCGGTGCTCTTGGTGTATCAATTTTTCAAGTTGGTGAAATGCTCATTTATCTGTGATGAGTGACTCATTGAATGCTGAGTGACTGGTCACTGAGGTGCAGATTTCTGGTTGATTCAATCAAGCCATATTGGTCAACAGAGGATTAGGCTTGTCATCTCAACCAGATAAAAATACTGCCAGACACACTGCATGACATTAAACTAGGAGAGAAAGCTGTGGGTGGGGTTGGGGGGATTTCTGTAAGTAATTAGCAATGACTAACGGAAGGCTAATAATTTGGAAAATGCTATCCTTTTTCTAGGTCAAGGGTGACAGAAACTTTCAATGAAGTATTTAGAAGGAAATTAAGTACATTAACTCACATGTTTCTTTTGATGTTGATCAGTTTAACTGATGGTGAGTCGAACACAGATGAAAATCTTTCAAACAAGTGACTGTCTCTAGCGGCCCTGAGGAAAGAAAAATTTTGCAACTGGTTAACAAAAGGATCCACGATAATTTATTGAAACAGATTATTATTCATTCAACATATTTACCCGATTCTGATTGGCTAAAAGCCATGCATAATTCAATTAACCAGTTACTGATGACCAAATTTGGAAGAATTTTGTGTTTAACCCGTTCGCTCCTGGAGATTTTGCCGAAAAACGCGTTTTGAAGCTAGTCGAGTGGTTTTCTGGTCACTGTCGTGCTATAAAGAGCTAAAACTTACCACAAACCGGTTTACAGGTCGTACACTTCGCAGCCTTCTGATCCAGATGCAAATTATCAGCTTGCGAAGTTCGGGCATGCGCAGAAAGCAAAATTTCGGGTTTAAAAGTGACACAGCAGTCTTGACTTTTACTTTTCGCTTTCTCTCCTCCCTTCTTTTTTCGCTTTTCTTGCCTCATTTTTTTTTTCTCTTGCTGGGCATTTAGCAGGCTTCATTTTGGTAGGAATAGTTTTTAGGAAAGCTTTTAGGATCTTAGGATTAGGTGAAAGGAAAGGTAGGTGGGCAATGGAACAAGATTTTCATGGAGATTTTCAGGTCCATGTCACGTGGTTTTTTGCTTCTTTCTCCGGTGTCCTTGATTGAATTTTGCTCATTCTGGTATGGTTCGAAAGATCTTTTCACTCTGCACAAGTTAGCGAAGAAAGTTGTCCTTGACCGTTAAAACTGATGACGTCACAAAGGGTAGAAAGGACCTGGATCCGCACGGGCGGTTACGGGCGGTTCAGGGGCGAATGGGTTAACGAGGAAATGACGTCAAAAATGCAGCGTTCTTGCAGGTTAATGCACCGTTAACCGAGAAGACCTGGGGACGAGGTTGAGTTATTTTGGTTGTGAAAACAAAAAATGGCAGACATTTCACTTGTTTCAAGAGTAAGAACTAGGCGAAATTATAGTTAAAAACATGGCAATTAGAAGAGCAAGAACACAACTGGAAGGGCAACATCTGCTATTTGGAGAATATTTGCGGAGCTGAACAACCCTAAACGTGCTCTATCGAAGGTGAACTTAACATCGATGGAGGTAAGCATGTTTTATCTTTGTTTTTAAACTAGGAATTATTTTGAATGAATAATAAAACAATTATAGAATTCGGCTTTCGTATCATATGAAGAATAATTCTTCAAAATTATTATGGAGATCTCGGAGGGTGTTATAACATCTTCCTCAATCTCCATAATTCTTCATAAGATACTCAGCCTCATTCATTAATATTATTGTTAATTATTGTTAAAATAGACAAATCTCTTTTCTCATAGTAATTATGGTTACACAATAAAAAAAACTTGCGGCCAGTTGCAGTGTATCAATGTGCTTTGTGGACCTTTGTGGTGCCTTGAATTCTTTGCTCACACAGGCAAAGGGGATCACAATTTGTAGTCTAACTGACTGAAACATGAAATAAGAACATCTTGGGGGTAGTGTTTACATATAACTTAGAGATAAGTTACAGTGTTGCATGGTTCCAAAAAATATCCATGCTCACCCTAGCTAAGGATGGCGACTGGAAATTTCAAAGGGAGGAGGACTAAAAGACCAAAACTTTTAAAGGGATATCAGGGAGAGCAGAGTTAAGGAGGGGGGAGGGGGCTGGGTGGCTTCATCCCCCAGAGTTTTCCTGAAAAAAATAAAGACTTGCAAGGAGGCTAGTCTCCTAAGTATTCCCATTTCAAGTCACTTACCAACCCTCGCCCTCCCCCCCCCTTCGCTTGGAAAAATGTTCTGTTCTCCCTGGATGCACACTGTTTGAATCTGAACTGGAATTTTCAGAGGGGTAGGAAATTTTAATAAGACAAGTTTTAAATCAAACCCTTAACACTGGAACCACTCAGCTACTTTAAGCTGCAAGTGGGACGTTTCCCACTGTTTCATGACTGTGACTAAAATATTTCTATCAATCTTCAGTCTTTTTTTCTCATAAAGGATTACAGTATATACAAACTAAGCTGTTATAGCCCCATAAAGTAGTCATGCGTTAACTTTGTTTGGTTTTTATCATATTATGATTCAACTTACTCGGGGTGGAATCCAATGTCATGATTTCCTACCACTACATGGAATTCAGTATTTTCAGAATGATCAAACATCTTGTGAAAACGTTGTACATAGAAATCCCATTCCTGATTAATAAATAGGAATAAAAGCATAAAAAATCACTACAATATCTTACTCAAATGAGAAGTGGCCTTAATTTATACACAACTTTTCTCCTTAGAGAACTACTGTTTCCTGATTTCTCACTTAAAACCATTTCCCAGATTTCCATTTCACTACAAAAATCCATGTATACAGAGAGAGGGATGACATTCAGAGAGTTTTTGTATGCAGTACTATGATGTGTAAGAACCTACATGTACAGTCATGTACATTTTACCAAGTTAGCCAAAGGAGGTCCTTATCAAAGTGGTAATAAATAAGCCCAATTTAGGCTACTGGTATTTAGGTTCTTGGATAGGTCCTTATTTTTCTGAAGAAAAAAAATCAAATTGTAGTTAACCCTTTAAGCCCCAATATCCACGAGCAAATTCTCCAAACTGATCTCTATACATTTCTTTAAAGAATAAGTTGAGAGAGTTTGATAAAAGATCAAAGCGTTTTCTCTTAGGTGATCATTTAATTAATTCTCATAACCTCATCTCTTGACATTGTATGGATATTGTTAGGAGAAAATTGATGTTGGTCACCATTGGGACTTAAAGGGTTAAGAGAATGTTGCTGTCTATTAAAAATGACTACAACAAGACAAATAATTTGAAATACTGATTACATGGATTTTAAAGAGCCCTTTTTCAGAGTAGAGATTATTTTCAATAGAATTTAAAAAATGAGAGCCTGTTACAAACTTAAGGTTAACTAGCTTCTTGTATAGAGGGGGTCTAACTGGCAAATCTTTACCTGTGTAACAGGTTTTTAAAAACTAGTTTCATACTTGTGGGGCAGTACTTTACTTCAGGACATTTAATCCTAAGACAGTATTTGCTGTATTAACCTAAGGCCTACACCAAATGTTGAACTTTTCCTGAGACGAAGCAATCTCTAATTTGGGTCTACATAAATTAAGTTAAGATCATCTGTTGGGTCAGACATCGAACTTAGGACACGTTGAACCAATCAACAGAATGAGACCAAAAAGCAATTTCTGCTGGCCAGTGGATATTCAGTAATAAATTTTCTCCTGAATGAGGCTAAATATACATTATCATACATATTTTTAATTTATTAGTTTAGTTCGTCCCATGTCAAGATCAATGTTTGTCCTGGAGACGATCCTCAGACGCTCTATCCATCTGAACTAGATGGATAGAATGTGTTGGATGATCCAAACTCATTCAGACAAGCTTGACTGACCCAGACATCACACTTTTCATGAACTTAACACACTAAGGGCCTGCTTACAAGGAGAGAGGGTTACCCTTGTGCTAGGGTTACCCAGGTTACCAAGCAGGTTAAAGTTAGCTCTGGTTTACAGGCAAATTTCACAGGTAGGGTTACCCCATCACCTGGGTCAACTTTACCAGTTTTGCTGACGTGTTTCTTCATGCATTACATTCTTTGTAACGGTCCAAGATTTGAATAGCCTGAAATTCATCCGATTGCTTCGAGTCGTTTTCTCCTCTCAACAACGTCTGAATCAACCGGCCGTTAATACCATCCAGTGACGTAACTCACTACCCGAAAACCGGGTAGTGATTTTGATTGGTTGATTGTCTAAACATTCGCATAATAATGTATAATTATGAAAAATTTTAGAGGGATTGTTGCTTGATAATCAGCGGATTGCATCCCTGGCATTCTTTCGTTTAGTTCAAACATTTCGATAAGCTTAATCTGTATTCTTAAACAGCAAAATTGCCCTTGTCTTTGAAACTGAAATGCGAAATTGAACTGCGAATGAAGAATCATTGCAGAAAGTTGGTAGGTTTTTCATTTAGAGCCGCTTTGTGGTTTCAGCCGCCGATGATTTTGTTTACGCGAAGTTTTCGGAGATCAATGTCATAATTTGACCTTCATGCTATTTTTACCGTCAAGTGTAATGATTCTGTTAGCTTTTCTTTCTTGTCTCCTTCCTTTTTGCTTCGTTAAGGACCAAATAGCTTCTTTTCAATTAAAGCAAATCATCGTGTTTTTGAACTAAGAGTTCTGTGTGTGTGTTTATTTCATTCCGTGACTGCGACCGAGTTTGAATATAGAATTTAGTACAACTGGTTCAGAGTTGTACTGCATGCAGTTGATAGTTTGCACGTTAAACATGAATTACAATCAAAAAAGATAAAGCAATTCTGTATCATGCAGACATTTCCAAACGATATTTCTCGGTTTGCTACTTGAAAATCGTGTTTTACTTTTTGCATGAATTAAAGCAAAGGTCAAAATATTATCATTTTAGAAAGAAAATAACTTTTTATTTTTCAGATGTTTATGATTAAGCTCAGAAATTGGATAATACCGTTCAAATTTGCATGATTACTGGTCACGAATGACGGTGGAAAGTTGTCCCGGGTCGGTGAGTTATCCCTAGCAGAGTGTTTACAAGGCAGGTAGGGTAACCCTCTTGCTAGGGTAACCCTAGCACTCAGGTAGGGTCAGGTCACCCTAGCGCTAGGGTAACCCTACCTGCCTTGTAAACACGTGGTGTACAAAAAGAAGAAATGTGCAAGTGCTAGGGTAGCCCTCTTGCTAGGGTAACCCTAGCACCAGGGTTACCCTCCCTCCTTGTACACAGGGCCTAAGTTTAGTTTGTCTCATGGAAAGTTCGACATTTGGTCCAGGTGTATTGCCTTAGTACCTCACCTCATCATTACTGTATAAACCCTCATCAAACAGATCCCCAAGTAAAAACACAACATCAGGTTTGAAATGTGCAACAGCTGTCTGAAAGGCTCTCTCCATCTGCCATTCTCGCCTGAGTTTGTCGAACCAGTGGCCATGTTTTGGTCCTAACAAATGTGTATCAGTCAACAACATTATCCTAAGAGGATCGAAGCGCCCTTCTCTTCCCTCTGAGTGAAGTTCAGGCCAGGAGCACTGATAAATGACCAAGTAATAAATCAACCATTCGCAGAACACGAACAGACATAAAGCGACAATCGCCGCCCGCTTTAACTGAGTGAACAGAACATTACTAGAAGTCTTCACCATTTCAAACAAGAATCCTTTCACTGGGCACCTTGACATGAAATTGACCGCCAATGAAAGAAACTATATATTTTCAATATCAATTTCAAAGCTGTTCGATCCATGCCCCCAAAAGAGGACGATATTACAACTCAATATTTCCAGTCAGTGACCACATATAAAAGCAAATGAATCCTCGAAGATCTCCTCGACAACATGAATTGTAAAATGCTTTGTTGGACGTTCACATTGCAGAAAATAACGCAAAAACAGCGGGTTGTTTACAAACGCCGCAGGAATTTTGAGGTAGGCTTTCCTCTAACTTGAAGGAATGCGAATGGACTAGGCTCTAACTATACAGCCCGCTGACCAAAAAATGAGTACGCTATTGTCTGTTGTCAAAGGAAAACCATGTGCTAAGTAAAATTAGGCGTCTGTTGTTGCTTTTTTTCTGATTGCACAATCTCCTCTATCTTTTTCCTCTCCTCCCTCACTCAAGAGGTGTGCGCACCGAGATCTCATTGCCGAGTCTTTTTGCACTGTCGAATTACCCCTGCGAATTCTGGCCATCCTCTTTTTTTCTCCGTTTACAGTCGTCCGACCGACAAAAATTTTTGGCACTTTCAAAAAAAAACGTAACGACTTAGTTAGACCATTTTTCACTTGAAATAATTCTTTTAACCTGAAAAATGAGCTTAGTAACAGCATAGAGAAAAACAGGAACAAAAACATGAACATTTTTCACAGTATATTGTACATTTTGTTAATCCAAATATGTGAATGTTAACTTTTAACGTCGTCCTGGGGTACCAGGGCCTACTATTCCGAGACTTCTTGTGATTTTTGTGACATCCAAAAACCGGCTCAAGGGANAAACAGGAACAAAAACATGAACATTTTTCACAGTATATTGTACATTTTGTTAATCCAAATATGTGAATGTTAACTTTTAACGTCGTCCTGGGGTACCAGGGCCTACTATTCCGAGACTTCTTGTGATTTTTGTGACATCCAAAAACCGGCTCAAGGGAGATTATCGAAAGGTGTGTCACCTGCAGGATCCCATGGGATCCTCGCATCAGGCTTTTTGAAAACGCTAACACTTTTTTTTAAGTTTTAGCCTCGTGTCCTCTCCAGAACGATCAAAAACGGACGTTTTCGAAAACGCTCCTATAAGTGGAGCCATGGAGGTTTTCGAGTACGTTGACGTCATAGCAACTCTAGCAAGGCGGCATGAACTCTCACAAGCAACCATGCTTCATCCCTCAGCCTCTCGCCTTTTCTACTCCGAGAGGAAGGAAGAGGAAAGACCTTGATATTGTATCGTTGCAGCCGGCCCCAGCGTCTTCTAGTCGTCTAGACCATAATTGGTATAGTCTGACGCTCTATACAGGCGGTTTAGAGTATCTGCGACGCAGGTTATGAGAATGAGGTTGGCTGTAAAGACGCAAGTATGGCTCCAATTTATGGTGAGGAACGTTGTCCAATGTACTAAGGACTAACGGAAACTAATTTTCATAGACGGTCAAAAATGATGGAGATAGACCAGTATGGAGCGACCTTAGAGGCCTCCTTTTTTTCCTCTGTAGTCCCGATATTCACGTGTATGTTCCGGAGCAAATGAGTAAGTGGGAATTTGCTAGCTTCCTATGTAGTCGTGCTTAGGGCTTGAAACGAGCTAGCCTGTTCCATGCTACCCTGATAGCAAAGTCGCTTCGATCTTTTCTAGATAAGTCGGGAAAGGGAAAGCGAATCTGCCGACATTCCTCTTCCCGACTTATCTAAGAAGGTGGAAGGAGACTCTATTCGCAGGGTAGTTCCATGCTCTCCAAGTAGGGATTACGCGCAAGTGTAAGGCACGCAAAAATACAAGGGCGTGATCTCGGAAAAGTGGACCAAGGCTAGGCTCTAGATCAGCGACTTGTAATCGAGCTTATCTTCCATTTTAGCCCGGTCCTACCTATCACATATCACGACGTTTTCTTTTCTGGTGATCATTTCTAGACATTCTTTGCTCTTATAAAATGGCCACTCAAGGGGTTTCCTAGAAAGATGTTTTGAGATGAAATAATTCAATATGGGAATCAAGTATAGTTTCCGTTGTCTGACGAACGAATAACGTAGAAAACGTTTTTCTCAGACACTTACACAGTTGGGAGTATGGGCCTGGGCCTCCAGTGCGGAGTCTTTAGGTCTTTCGTTACATGGTCGTTCAAAGTTCAGTTTTTTTGTTGCTATCATATCCGCTGTTTTAGTTAGTGGAAAGTGGCACCAAATAACGAGAAGAGAGACAGAAAAACCGGGAAAGAAACCCTTGCTGTTTTTTCCTTTCACTTCTCTCCACCGTCTACACCCTCTGAACGCCTGAAATGGGCTCTTAGTTATAAGTGAGGAACAGACATTCACATAAATTGCTAGACTTTGCACTGTGTTTATATGGTTGTTTATTACAAAAACTATAATAAATAGCATAAAGCTAGTGTCTGCGACGTACATGTTCGTCTCCACAATACGGAGATAAAAGCAAGTCAATTTGTTGTCAATAATTGATAAGTTATAGCATCATTTTGGTAATGTGACTCTAGCCAAGTATTTAATAGCGGTAGTGCTCTGGCTTGTAAGGGCCGTCAGCAGGGATACCAAGATAATTCGCCTGCTTGTCTGTGAGCTTGGTAATCTTGACACCAAGATGATCGAGATGCAGTCTTGCGACTTCCTCGTCGAGCTTGCGGAGGAAAGAAAAATAATTCAGTGTTGGAAATAACAAATGATCTGTCGCCTGTATTAAAGTATTCAGAACTCTCTCTTATAAAACAGACACCACTACAATTGCGAAACGGCTTATAAAACGTTAGCGAAATGACCTAAGACGTAAGCGAACGGGACATAGGCGAAACGATTCGGTGGTGAAATGACCAGTGGGTCACCAGACAAGAAGCGAAAGCGGTGTAAATCGCACAAAGAGGGTGGAGCAGTAGGTATGTTGAATAGTCACCTAGAGCATCCATGTGCTAGCAAACAATCTCCCTTTAACAGGCAGACAAAGTAAAACAAATATTTACCGGGGTAACATTTTTGGGAGAGTTAACCATCAAGCAGTGTCATAATGTGTAACCTAATACTAGATCTTACAACAATAAATTTATTATTTATCTTCCTTGACCTACCTTTTTGGGAAGCATGTAAACACCAATTGGATATTCCTTAGTCTTTGTCCAGAGTTCAATCTGAGCCAAGACCTGGTTGGTGAAGGAGTTGCTCATGACAAAAGAAGGGTGTCCCATGGCACAGCCAAGGTTCACAAGACGTCCCTCAGCAAGGAGGATGACATGGCGTCCATTGGGAAGCTCAAAGCGGTCGACCTATGGTTACATTTTAATACAATCACTTTATGAATAAATTTATGAATTTAAAAATTTAAAAATTTCCAATAACAAATTAATTCTTGCAAGGAGACCAGAACTAGTGCATAATGATGTCATTTTCCAACCAGCAGAATCTTTTGGACTGCTGCTTTTCTTTTTGTAAAATAATAAGGGTAATAATATTGTTAAATCTAGATACTGAAGCAAAAACAAATGAATAGAAAAGAGAAGTGACAGCATCACAAAATTTAATTTTGTGAAATTATGGGACAGGTTGGCATATCCAAAAAACACGAGCTGAAAATTTTCGACCTGCCAAAAAGCAGCCTGCTAGTGTATACAGTCGAACCTCACTATTTCGAACTCGGTTCATTTGAAGTCCCCGCTATTTCGAAGGAAGATCAAATGCCCTTGGATTTACCCTTCCCCTTTATGCTTCCCCGCTATTTCGAACTTGTTTTCATTTCCCTTGGACTTCGAAATAGCGGGGTTCGACTGTAGTTGGTGTGGAGATAATAAGCACTGTTATGCTCCGATGACTCCAATGTATTGTAAAAAAAAGTCATCAGAGTGTAACGGTGCTTACATATCCTTGCCAGTTTGCACTAGCAGGCAGAGTTTTAGCAAGGGGGCTTTTTTTTTGGATGCCAGACAATCCCATAATTTAAAAAATTTAAATTTCTGCCATGAAACACTTTTATATTCAAAAGGCATCATTGCAAAAATGGCCTTGTGAGGGGGTGGCAATAAATTAAGAGTTCAAAACTTAGGCACGTTACAATTTTACAATATGCACTGTATTATGTCACTACAGAATATTAACTGACTGGCAATATCACAATATTATATATCGAGATACATGTAAGTATTTTTAAGACTTACCTGAGGCTTGATGTTATCTTTTTTACAATTGTCATTAAGCCAAGCAACATCAATCTCGCAATCAAAATGACCAACATTACAGATGATGGCATCTTCCTTCATCTGCATGAAGTGTTCTTTGTTGATGATTCCACTGCAACCAGTTGATGTAACAAAGATCTGTCCCTGGGACGCAGCTTCTTCCATGGTAACAACTTCATATCCTATGAAAAGAAGAGGAAAATACATCATCATCAGTCACTTTAAAGTACAAAAAGTTACACAACCAAACTTCTCCCCACAGACAGCTCCATCATATGGACACCTCTTTACAAAGACATTTCTTTCAGTTTCACAATCCCTACCTCTATTATGGATGACTCTCTGATAAGAACAGTTCTCTTAGTCCCCTAAAATTATGCCAAACTTCATGCAACCCCTACCTCTACAATAACAATGCCTCTCTATAATTACAGACTGTTCCACTGATCCCAAGTATCCTATCATTCATACTATCCCTACTTCTATAATGCTAACTCTTGTCTTTATCCCTTTGGTGTTGACCCTATTAAAGAGTTAACTGTAAATTATCAACAACATGCTCTCATTTCGAGAAGTAGTTTCTTGGTGTTATATTCAAATCAGGTAAAACCAAAGATGGTATCTCACCTTCCATGGCAGCTTGTAAAGCATTGATAGGATCAACCTCGGTGACCAAGACGCGGGCGCCAAATCCCCTCAGGGACTGCACTGAGCCCTTACCAACATCACCATATCCAGCTACAACACAGACTTTGCCGGCAAGCATGATGTCAGTAGCTCTCTTCAGACCATCAACAAGAGACTCACGGATTCCATAAAGGTTGTCAAACTTGCTCTTGGTGACAGAATCGTTCACATTGATGGCAGGACACTTCAACTGCTTTTTCTCCATCATCTTATACAAGTTATGGACTCCAGTTGTGGTCTCCTCTGAAAGACCTTTGATACCTGAACAGGGGGTTAGCACAAATTTATTACTCAAGACAATAAAATTATGGTGACATGCTAAAGAGAATTAACCAAAATGACAGACAGGACCGTATTGTCTAAGGCTGTCATTAATTTATCACAAGGGCCTTAGACCCTGCCTGGCTGATACAAATGCACTTGTCTTGGCTTCTTTAGTAGAAACACAATAGAAAATGTCAAAACTTTGGCTTAGTACCTTTCCCATTTTCCTGCCTACTTCAAATGTGATGACAAATGCTAACTAAACAGCTTTAGGCCAGCTAGTCATGCCCTTCTGGCAAACTTTATTTAACTTTGTCTCATTCTGGTAAGATACCGTATTTATTCGATTAACTGCCCTGGGCGCTTATTAAATTTTTGGACCTTGAGAGTGGGCGCTTATTTGAGGTGGGCGCTTATTCGAGGCTGGGCACTTATTAAATTTTCACCATTTTCAGCAAGTGTAGTATGTTTATTTTGCAACAAAACAATAAATGCTAAAAACAAAACACGAAGAAGTAACAAAGGAAGATTTCTGTAAAATACTCTGAAGAAAAGTCCGTCCTCGGGAAGTCTCTTATTAGAATTTATTCACTCAAGTGGGTGGGGTGGGGGTGAGCACTTATTTGAGTTTGATTGGGAGGAGGAGGGGGTGGGCGCTTATTCGAGGCTAGGCACTTATTAACTTTTTCTGTCTTTAGGATGGGCGCTTATTCGAGGTGGGCGCTAATTCGAGGTTGGGCGCTTATTCGAATAAATACGGTAACTCTGCAGTTTAGGACTTTTAAATCTCTGAATGCAGCAAGTTTAGTACCAAGTGCCTACAACTTTTGCAAATCCCCCAACATGAATTCAAACGTAAGATCTTTACTATCAGCTAATCTCCTATAGTTCAGCTCATTCATAAAGTGAGAGTGAAGCTTAGAATTCTTCAAGGATGTTAGCTCCACCAACCTTCCATGTACTGGGGGTACTTCTCGTGAACAAGGTTGGTGAGGTCACCCCCATCGTCAAGGATCATGTTAAGGGGCTGCCCATCAGGGAACACAAGCGTCTGGTCAATGCACCAGATGTACTCCTCATCAGTCTCTCCTTTCCAGGCATAAACAGGGACACCAGTCTTCGCAATGGCTGCGGCAGCGTGGTCTTGGGTTGAGAAGATGTTGCATGATGACCACTGAACCTGTGAGGGAAAACACACAAGCTTACATTAAATAAAGAGCCAACTGGGTATCTCAATTTGTTAGGTGGCTTCAGAAGAGGTGCAGCTGCCTTTTTTGCCAATGGTTACTAAGGCACTTTTAGTCTTCTCAGATGAGGACACCAAACCATAGGCCTCAGCTGTCTCTCCTAGTCACAGCACCCCAATAGATGGTTTTCACAGTGACGTCATCAAATTGTAAAGTCAAAATAGCGAGGTTTTACGAATTCTTATTTACACTAGGTTGAAGATAACAAAAAGTTAATCTTTGTACAAGTTTTCTGTCCCATAGCATGTTTCATTTCGAAAATACAGCAATTTGAACTTCCGAGTTTTCAGAGTGCGTGACACCAAAATAGGAATGCTGTCTCGTTGGAAAAAAAGTCTCTCCTCTTGATTTTCAGCAGTATAACCATTTCAAGTATTAGAAGATATGTTTATGCGCACGTAGGCTAGTTCTTGAGTGAAAAGAAGGAGCTTTTATAGAACAAGTGAACTCTAGATGTTTTTGTTGATTTTTGGCGGCCATATTGGTGCACCAAAACTGTGCACCAATATGGCGTCTCCATACAAAGCTCTACAAAGATGCGTGAAACGTTTCGGCAAATAACTCAGAAACTGTGGCTCCAAAAAGACCTGAGACTTGGACAAATTGTTTAAAAATTAGTCTTTTATAACATATCATTTTCTTGGCTTCTTTCACTGGACGGTTTTCAATTTATTTTTTTGTTGCGTGACAGTGAAAACGATCTATAGATCAGACTCCCACAGGACTTAGCTAACTCTAGCATAGCCTCCGTGACAGACACTTGGAAGTGATAGGCATAAGAAAAAACACAGTGTACAGGAGAGAGAGACACTAAGGGAGAAGGATTGCCTGCCTGAAAGGCCCATGGAAATAATTTTTTTCTGCTTTCTGAGAGTGCAGAAAGTTCATATTGGTCAAGAGTGTTCCGAGGTGATTAAGTGTTTGAGTTGTGCAAGGAGACTGTCAATCAAAGAAAACATGACATTGTTTATAACAATGTAGATCCTGGCAGTGAAAATCACCACTAAGAGGCATAATCAAAGGGCTGATCTTCGAGGTCAATGTAATAGAACTTTGTGCCTGTAATATGAAAGAAAATTTGGAGTGTTCAAATGGTATTCACAAAGAATGATTTGACATTCAATGAGCATTAATTAGTAGAAATGGTGAAGGAAATTAGAGATCACAAAAGATTTGTTGAATTGTTGAAATGAAGATCAGTGAAAGATTCCTTGTTCAAAAAGAACTTGGCAGCTTTCATTGCTGATGGAACACATACCATTAAAACCTGGACAGGATTGATGGAGTGACAAACTTACTGAGCGCGATTGTTATTATTTGCTCGATGGTGACCTGATGTCTAGTATTAATGTTTTGTTGTAGTAGCTTATAAAAATCTTGGCTCCCTTCAAAGGTTTGGTGAGGCCATATCACTTCCTCATTTCCAACATACCAGGCATTTCATTCTCAGCAAGGGTGATCTCTGTTGATCTCCTTTAAGTATTTGGTGTGTTATTTATACCTTCTTTTTATGTTTTGCACACGGGTCTTTTAACCTTAGCTCAGACTCATAGTGCTTCCCACCGTTTGAAATGTGACAAGTTTTCTAACAGAGCTAGTTTCATTCCTGATTTATACATAAACCAGTTAAAAATCATGCTACCTACCTCAGCACCCAATTCCGTCAAAGTCTCAATGAGAACAGCTGTCTGAATGGTCATGTGAAGGCAACCTGCAATCTTAGCTCCCTTCAAAGGTTTGGTGGGGCCATATCGCGTCCTCATTTCCATCAAGCCAGGCATTTCATTTTCAGCAAGCTTGATCTCTTTGCGACCCCAGTCAGCAAGGCTGATATCAGCTAACAAGATGACAAGAAATAAGTGTAAGGACTTAAAAATTGTGGCCTGCAAAACGGCCATCTCTCCTCATTCCTCATCACTAGGGACAGTTTGCCAGGAGGTCTGTCCACGCCTCGGTTACAAAAATTCCACACTGATGATGTAAACTCTGTCCAGAATCTGGTCAGGAGTTCTGATTGGTTGATGTAGTGGCTATTTTGGTACAATTTAATTGTGAATTAGCTCTTACTTGAATTTATGTAAGGACTATAAGTATTACGTATTTTTAATCCTTTGCTCATCTCGATGCTGTCATTGAATTTCAGGATCTTCTCTCTATTATTGCGTGTATATGAGTTCTTCTGCTTGCCGATTTTTTAACTTGAGTGCTACATTTGTTCCATTTTCGCCTTTCTCCAAAAGTGAAAAAATCGTTTGTTTATCCTTTATCATGAGAACAGACTGCTTTCCTTGCGTAGATCTATATGGCTGTGATTTGAGTTTACAATCGATTGGTCTTGTGTTTACATAACCAATGCAGAATCTAACATGACATTCCCTTAGCAACATAACTGAGCCAATCAGAATTCGGCTGAATGTATCAGAATAATAGATCAATATATTATTGCCGCTCGCACTTTTTCAAAGCAAAACACAGATTAAAACAGTGTTTATACACATATTTGGAAGGATAGTTGAACTTTTAATCATTTCAGTTTTTCAAGATCACATCTTATTCATATTCATGAAAAAAAAACAGGACTAGAAAAGACCGGATAAACAAAAAGTTCCGATAACCGAGGTCCAGCTAATCGAGATTTGACTGTATTGTTAACCCCGTAAGCCCCAATATCCACTTACAAATTCTCCATACTGATCTCTATACATTTCCATTAAGAATTAGTTGAGAGAATTTGAATAAAGATCAAGGCATTTTCGCTTTGGTGATCATTTTATTAATTCTCATAACCATTTCTTTTTACAATGTATGGATATTCTTGGGAGAAAATTTATGTCGGTAACCATTGGGACTTAAAGGGTTAATAAACGGCAGACAAAAGAAAAGCGGTCACAAAGGTCAAATGTAAATGCAATAAACAACTACAAAACAGTCAATATTGGTAGAATATATTCTCCTTTAGAAGAAGCATTTGACTTTTGCTGGAGCTCATTCCCAGAAGAACTCAAAATTTTACCATAATCGACCAAGAGAAACGTATAACTAATAAATTTACATTTGGGACTCCATGACTACTGGATTAAACATTGATTTACGTCATCAGTATAAAATTTCCGTCACTGTGGCACAGACGTCCCTCCTGGCGAAATGTCACTAGCAGTGTGGAGCATGGAGAGTTGGCCTAAATGATGATATTCATTCCAAGGGTGCTTTTCTGGTCTTTGTGAACAATAGTGCATGACAATTCCAGGCAGCTATGCATCACACAACTCCCAGTTACATGAGAGGAATATCACCGGGGATTTTTTACTGAGAAGCATTTGACTCAGGGGAATTTGTCTTGTTAAGTTCCCCTACCCCTGGGGGAACTGTCAACTTCCCTCTCCATTTACAATCCCCCTGGTTGGACTGGGGTCTTACTCCTGGGGGAAGTAAATGAAAAAACAGGGATAGGGTATGAGGGTTGAAGGAAATAGTCAAGGCCTGGTTACCTCAATATTCCAGGCTTCCAAGGTGCTAGGTGTGAATTTCATTGTCCTTTAACTTTTGGAAATTTCAGTTGACAGAAAAATGGAATACTTTGGTATGCATGGATATTTTTCAGTGAAAGTGGTCCACCTCCTAGCTGTTCCTTTTTGAGCAGTCAGTCCAGTGCAAATGAAAATAAACTTTTCATTCGCAAAAAATCTTGTTTGCAGTCCCAGTTCGCTAAAATGTAATAAAAATTTGGGTTGAAAAATGAATGGATCACTTCGGTCTGGTTGCAATGTTTGTCTCATAATGAAAAGCAACCTAGGGATACAGTTTATGCTGACAGGAAGTATAAGTGACTTAGAAGTTCATCTTGTAGTTGTGATCAGTTATATAACAGGCAACCACGATGTGATAATGGCATCATCATTCTACCTGGTAGCCTAGGCCAGGGAGTTCTCTGGGGTAAGAGATGGTGTTCTGGTATTGACAGCAATGAGTATGGGTAAAATTAACCATACCCTTTGCAGCAAAATGGTGTACCTAAAGGTCTCTTCTGCGGATCTCTTTATGTGGATTTGCCTCATACAAAACCATTTGTGAAAGACTGTGAATATTGATAATTAGGAGCATAATACCTCCGACCAAGCATAATTTTGAGCGCATAAATAAAACTTAAACTTCGTTTCAGCCAAATCTACAGAAGACATAAGCTTAGCCACATACTAGATTTAACCAGCACATAACGTTTCTGCGAATGACAAAACCGGTCTTTTAATGACCTGCAGAGGTTCAGGAATAGAAATTGCGCAATGGTTGGGACGATCAGATGCATGTTGCTACACGAGGTTCTACTACCATCGGAACGCCCACCGAACTACGTACATTTCCGTGAACTGTGATCAAAAAAGCTTCACTTACTCTTGTGGAAGGCGTACTGAAGTAAAGGAAGATAACCTACTATCCTCTATTTAAACACTTTCCATCTGACAAAGCAAAATCACTGAAATGTAATTCGAAGGCAAATTTCTTGACTTGACAAATTATAAAGTGATCAGGACATGATCAGTAAGCTTACTTACATCATCGAGCTAAACAAAGCAAGCTCGCACGATCAACAAACTGGGAATTCGCTACTCAGTTAAGCTTACACAAACCTACCACAATAGCTCTCAAGAAAAAACCTAAACCCTACCTATAAATTGCCACGCATTAATCTAGTAAAGTGGTGAAAGCGTTACGCAAGGCGCTTCGATCGAAGGTACCCACGTCGATTTTCTTATTTTGATTTCAACTGAACTCACCGACTTTGTAGGGAAGTTTTCCACCGTTCTGCATATTGTACTTGGATTGGGTGAGGTTATCACTACCGCTTTAAACAGTAAAAATTTACTTTCTACCGATGTGGAGAAGAAAAGAGGTCGAAATTTGCGTGAAGCATGGCTTTATACCCAGTGACCGCCATATTTGGAAGGGTCGAACGTGATTGGTTCATGTTTCGAGAAGATGGTTTACTAATAATTTATTACACAATCTTTGCCGGGCCAAAACGCACCGTATTTTCACCTTTCATACAATTTTCAGGGTAAGACCTTCGTTTAAATAAATAAGCTTTGAAATTCTAGCCTTGTGATAGTTGAAAACCGCGAAGTTTTTGTTCTATACTCTGCGATCCGGGACTAAGTTAATTAGGATGTCGAAAGGATTTCGTCGACGGGAAATAACGGATCACGTGAAATTGATCGCGTGTTGCGGCTCCGGGGCTGAAACACATGCAACTCCGGTGTACATTCTTGTTTTGTTGCGTTTAAAAAATTTAAAATTTTGAATAGTCATACTTAACCATTTTATTGTCCATTTAAGGGTCTGTTAGGAACACAATTTCAAAGTAAAGTAAGCTAGGAGAGTACTTAACTCTTTGTTTAAAAAAAAAGTTGTGGAAAATAACTATTCCACGGGAAATCCCTTGTGTTGCGTTACAACATACAACACCACAGGCCACCCAAGCTCAAAGATTGTGGTTCAATCCGGGGTTCTGCCCTTCCACTTGTTGGCCAATGTGGGTAGTTTAAGGCTATGTTCACTTTTCTTCCCAACACGGAAAGCTATATCCAGTATAGTATGAACAGCATACACACAGAACTTGAGCAAATCTTTCACACACATCGAACCAGCTGACCAGGGCCCAGTTGTTCGAAGGCCGATTAGTACTTAACCCAGGGTTAAATTTAACCCGGGATTCTTTTTCTTTTGTTCAAAAGCATTTTCGTGGGTAATTTTCTCCCTTATTTTGAAGAGCATCCAAATATCAACTTAATGACAGAAAGAATATAACTGAATCTAGTTTTTAAGCTTTCAAATCTTAATTCAAATTTCGCAGTAACCCTGGGCAAGAGCCATGAAGGCTGGTTTTCACTAGCGACGGAGTCGGAGTCGGAGTCGTAAGCGGAGTCGTAAGAGCGCTTATGACCTGGTGAAAATCAAAAATCGGAGTCGTAAGCGGAGTCATAAGCGCGACGGAATCGGAGTCAGAAGAATCAGAACGTTTCCATTTTCTTCCGACTCCGCTTACGACTCCGTCGCTTACGTTCCGCTTATGATCTGGTGAAAACTAGATTGCCGGAGTCGGAAGCAGAAGCGGAAGGATAAGCCAATCAAAATGCACGTTCCCACGCTTTGTGATTGGTTTGGTTCTTCTGCTTCTGCTCCCGACTCCGACAATCTGGTTTTCACTAGATCATAAGCGGAACGTAAGCTACGGAGTCGTAAGCGGAATCGGAACGCTGTTTTCACCAGATCATAAGCTCGTCGACGCTTCTGATTACGACTCCGACTCCGACTCCGTCGCTAGTGAAAACCAGCCTTAATGGCTCTTGCCCTGGGTTATCTAAACCCAGCTTTGAACAACCCGGCCCAGCTGTCCAGCTGTATACTTGGAGCAGCCGCCGTGAGCAGACTGATAAATCGCCTCCACGGGAGGCGGGGGGCGACTAAATAAAGTTTTATACGGGGAGGTTTAGCCTGTGTACAGATGTCCCCCCTCCCTCAGAAAAAAATCCCAATTTTTTTCTAAGGGAGGGGGTATGTCTGGACACAGGCTAGGGGAGGTTTCGCCCCGAGGTCGAAAGCCTTAACCTTTTATGTACCACATATACAATTTTGGACAGAGAAGGTATCCCTTTTTTATCCCCTTTACTGGCATATGATACCTCTTTTGCATACCAAGTTTATGACCCTGCNGTGAAAATCAAAAATCGGAGTCGTAAGCGGAGTCATAAGCGCGACGGAATCGGAGTCAGAAGAATCAGAACGTTTCCATTTTCTTCCGACTCCGCTTACGACTCCGTCGCTTACGTTCCGCTTATGATCTGGTGAAAAC